CGATCCGATTGTCACGCTGCACCTGCTCCCCTCGCCAGTGGCGGACAGGGGTCGCAAGGGCAAGGGCCGCAGCTTTCCGCGCAGCGAAGAAGACCGCAGTCGTAGCACGACCGGCAAAGGCAAGAAAGGCGGCAAGAAAGGCCGCGGAAAGGGCAAGGGCAAACGGCACGAGAGCGCAGACCGCTCCAGGCCGCCGAGCATGCCCAAAGAGCTCCGCCACTTGAACAGCGTTTCCAAGTCGGGCAAGCGCCTCTGCTACGGTTTCAACCTGCAGTGCGGGTGCGACCTGGAGACCTCCGGATCCCCCAAGCAGTGCGACAGGGGGTTGCATCAGTGCATGAGCTGCGGCAGCACCGAGCATGGTGCCGCAGATTGCCCCAAGAACGCAGGGGCCGCCTGACTAGGCACCCCTGCCCTGAGCGCGGCAGAGCCGCAACAGCCCTCGGCCACTGCGCCCGCAGCTCCTGGCCCAGCAGCGCTGGGCCTCCCTGCCACCGCGCCAAGCGCAGGGGAGAGTCTGAACCCCTACCTCGGCACCGTCGCCGCACTCGCCTGCAACAAGTAAGCCAGGATGTGCCACAGCTGCGGCGTCGCCTGACGCAGGGTTACCGGCAAACGCCGACCCCCCAGCGCTCCTGTTGTCGGAACAGCACAGCGTGCCTGCAGACAACGCTCCGGGAGTTCCTCTCCCTGAGCCCGTTCCGAAAGCGACCCCTCGGCCGCCACTGTTTGTGGAAATTTTCTGCGGCCTCGGTCGCCTTAGTAAGGCAGCCATCGAGAAAGGCTTCTCGAACGTCGCAGTGGATCACAAGACGAAGGCCAGAGGCCTCAAGGTCCTCCAGCTCGACCTCTGGGCCCCGCCGTGCGGCACCTTTAGCAGAGCTAGAGAGATTCCCAGGCCAGGAGCGCCGGGCCCTTTGCGCAGCGAATCGCGCCCAGCAGGCCTTAAAGGCCTCCTAGGAGCAGACGCAGCACGAGTTCGCAGCGCGAACAGCCTAGTCGCTTTCATGGCACAGTGTTGCCACTCCCTGTCGCAGCGCGGCGTTTGCTGGTCCATAGAAAATCCAGCCCGTAGCCTCCTTTGGAGGATGCCCTGCCTCAGAGAGGCCTTGCAGTCAGCTCACAGAGTGGAGTTTGACGCGTGCATGTTCGGAAGCATGCGCCGCAGCGTACTGCAATCCTCTCCAATTTGGATTGGTTCTCTGGTCTAAGCAGGGACTGCGACGGAGGCCATAAACACCTGCCTTGGGGCAGAGCCTCAGTGGATGGTTCCACAGTGTGGTCCACTTCCCTAGAAAGCGCCTACACCACTCAGCTGAGCTCGGTCTGGGTCTCCCTCGCGGCAGACCAATGCGCAGCAGCACTCCAGGCAGCGCCTCTCAGTCGCAAGCGTCTACGTCGCCTGCGCTACGAGCCAGACTTCAGTGACAAAGTCACTCTGCAAGGCCCCGCAGCGCGGTGCTTTCGAGGCTGGAAGACCCCCCAGAAGCTACCACAGTCGTGGACTTGCTTCCCAAAAGGCTCCAGGCTCATCCAGTGGATCGAAGCCTCCCAGAAGGCCATCATCGCCATCCCGCTGCAGCCTCTACACTGGGTGCGCAGAGCGCATCTCATAGATCACCCAGCCAGAGACATTGAGGCAGTGCCTCTATCCCTCAAGCGTGCCATCGCAGCCGAAGTGCACGAAGACGCTGTCCTGCTGGCCAAGCGTCGCACGTTGGCATCGATGCATATATCGAGAACTTGCACAGAGTGCCAAGCCCTCGAGACCGGGGTACGTTCCTCTAGTGACGCTCAGGTGAACAGTGTCACCAAGCCCAAGCAGACAGTAGCTTTAGCAAAGCTTCTCAATGAAATCGACTTCCCGGACAGGACCTTGGCGCAGCAGGTGCGGGAAGGCTTTCCCCTGCTTGGCTGGATACAACCCAGTGGGTTGTGGCCAGTGCAGATTCTGCCTCCTTCTCTAGATGAGAAGTCGATACTGGAGAACGCCCATAGCATAGGTATGCGCGGCGTCCGCAGCGCTCTACGCCCCTCGCAGGAAGGGGTCTCGGACAGGGTCTGGGAAAGCACAATAGAAGAAGGCCAGCAGGGCTGGCTCTCTTTGGAGGACTTTTCTCCGGAAAGTCTGCACGAGACGATAGTATCGTCTCGCTTCGGTGTCGTGCAAAAGGGCAAGGTGCGCCCCATTGATAATTTTAAGAGCAGCTTTATCAACAGCTGCTGCGGGACCACAGAGAAGGTCCAAGTCGATAGCATCGACGAGCTCCTTGCCGTGTGCCTCGAGTGGCTGCGCCAGGGTGTGCCCGCAGAGCGGGCCCACCGCATAGTAGGCAGGACCTGGGACCTCAAGAGTGCCTACAAGCAGCTTGCAGTGCAGGCCGCACACAAGAAATTCGCGTGCATCGTCATGGTGGACCCACAGAGTGGGAAGGTCAAAATCGCCCACCTACACAGCATGCCTTTCGGCGCAGTGGCTGCCGTGCACGCTTTCCTCCGCTGCAGCGAGGCGCTGAAGGCCATCGGCCGCGAAAAGCTTGCTTTGGTCATGACGAGCTTCTTCGACGACTTCACCGTTCTTACGCGCAGCGCGCATTCGAAGCTCGTCACGTTGGCAGTGTCCAACCTTTTTAACAAGCTGGGCTGGCAAGTGGCCACAGAGCCCAAGAAGAACGCCGACTTCAGCGAAGTCTTCGACGTGCTAGGCGTGCGAGTCGACTTGTCTAAGCAGCACCTTGGAGAAATCTCCGTGAGTAACAAGCCGACCCGTGCAGCAGAGCTGGGATTGGTCCTCAGCGAGGCCCTCGCCCGGGGCAGCATGTCCCCCTTGGAAGCGCAGAGCCTGCGCGGCAGGCTCATCTTCGCTGAGCAGCAAGCCTGGGGTCGCAATACTCGCATGGCAGTGATCTGCGTAGGCGACGTCCTTGGGGATGGACCAGAGCAAGTCCCCCTCACCGAGCAGCAGTGCCAAGCCATGGCGTTCCTGCTGCAACGAGTAGTGCACGGACCGCCCAGGACAGTGTCCATCCATGCGCGCAGGAAGGTGCATCTGTACATTGACGGGGCCTGCGAGTGGGAGACCCCACGTCTTGTGCCCAAGTGTGGCCTCGGAGCAGTGCTCATTGGAGAAGGCATCGCCTTCACCTGGGGGCTGCAGATCAGCAGCCAAGTGGCAGCCCAGTGGGTCGCCAGGGCACAGAAACAACAGTTAGTCTACGAGTGCGAGCTGTTGCCCTATTTGCTTAGCCTTCAAATGTGGGCCAAGCATATAGCAGGCAGTGACCTGTTCGTGTGGATAGATAACGACGCAGCGCGTACTTCCTTACACAAAGCCTTTACACGCAAGGTAGAAGGCGCAGCGATAGTCTCGCAAGCGGTGGACTTTGAAGAGTCTCTGCAGTGCAGGGCTGCTTTCTTCCGAGTCCCGACAGACAGCAACATCGCTGATGGCCCCAGCAGAGACTGGTGGGAAGAGACCGAGGCTAGGCGCAGCGCGCCAATACCTGCCGCCCAACGCAGTGCCGTTGGCTTTGTCACTCGGCGCGGACTAGATGGGGGGTGAGTAAGGCTTCGAGTGCCTTCAAGGGGGGTGAACCAGTCGTTCGCCTTACCATCGACCAGCGGTCGAGTTTTGAACCAAGATGCCAGTGGCATCTTTCCGTCAGTGCCCGAAGATCGGGCCCGAACTGACCCCCCATGTCCGCTAGGAGAAAAAAGAGAGTGTTTTGCACAGGGTTCCTCTGCAGCGCAGTTAGGGTTTCCCAAACGCGCGCTAACGGAAGTTTCGTTGGAAAATAAGCATCCATCATGCGTGCGTGAATGGGTTTTATTTTCCGCCGAAAGTGTAGACAAAGTTTGTCGAAAAAGGAAAACAGTGTTTTCACTTGTGTGTGAGTGACACTAGACAAACTTTGCCGTGCAGCTTTCGGCTTGGAGTTGGATCTGTGATCCAAAAAGTTTTTATCCCACCCACCACACCCTGTATAGTATGCGGGGTCTGGGACACCGCGTCGGCAGCAGAGCTGCCAGGAGCAGCGCTCCTAAGTTCTCTCCCGCAGAGAGGCGTAAGCACAGAGTGCGCCATTGTACATAGGCCGTAGGCCGTCAGACTACAGAGTAGCAACTGGTAGCTGCAGTGACCCAGTAGGTCAGAGAATGTTTCACCTTACCTTCCCGTGGTACGGGTTTTTCCCTGGTAGGGGGGGGGTGAACCAGTCGTTCGCCTTACCATCGACCAGCGGTCGAGTTTTGAATCAGATGCCAGTGGCATCTTTCGTCAGTGCCCGAAGATCGGGCCCGAACTGACCCCCCATGTCCGCTAGGAGAAAAAAGAGAGTGTTTTGCACAGGGTTCCTCTGCAGCGCAGTTAGGGTTTCCCAAACGCGCGCTAACGGAAGTTTCGTTGGAAAATAAAGACATTGGAATCATGGACTGGGCGCATCGTCGACACGATTCTGACACCAAAATCTCATGTTCCAAACTGGTGCAATGGATGATAGCCCCATCGAAGAGCAACACGCAGGACTGGTTCCCGATGACATCACGGACTTCCTTCAACAGTTCATTCTCCTCGAAGGACAACAAAGCCGAAAGTCGACTGAACTCGGGGTTGCGACGATCGGAGTATAAGTCTCGCCATGCTGCTGCCTCTGGATGACGCAATACACAAGAAGCTGCTTTTTGAACCTGCTAAACCGGGTTTCACCCTGTAGATCTGTCCGGAGCTAGCCGACGGGCGGGGGGGGGGGTTGTTGTCTGAGGACTTGGATCTTAGGCGGATCCCGTGCTCTTGCTTGAAAGAAAATAATTTCCTCGGTCAGATTTTGTTTTCTCCTTTTGGCATGAATTTCTTTTGAGTGATTTCGAACCATCTTATTTCAGATCAGTCTTGCCGTATCGCGAAGTTGAAGCATTGAACAGATAGCCACGTCAGGCTCAGGCCGTGGCTCGATAAAATTTTGTTTAGGAAGGGAGCAAAAGTCTCCCTCTCGGGACGTGCTATGGATCTCGAGTGGCCTCCCCTCCAAGGGGAGTTACTGACGAAGCTGAAGTCATGCTTTGCAAGCCCCCGGCAGCTGCATTATGATTTTGATGATAGCGAAGGTGCACGCAAATTGGTAGAGGTGCTGGTGCCAGGATTGGGGGCAGGCAACGTTCAGCTTGCAGTGGATCAGTTGGTCAAGTGGCATAAGGAGGGCGCGAGCTCAGTGTTGCGCGCCAAGAGAATTGCAAGAGCAGGTTTGTCGGAGAGCTTGGTGGGGCAGCATACCGTTTCTGCATCCACTATTTCAGAGGCATATGATAAGCTTGCACATAGCAATCCTCTCTCGCTTTTGCCTGCGATCGAAAGGGCCAGAAAGGCAAGGGAGAACAGCGTGGATCCATCAAAGAGGGCGGCTGAGGAAAGGGCTGCTAAAGCCAAGTATGCCACTCTCTTGTACAGCTTCTTGGTTGAGGCGAGGGCACCAATAGTAGATATCTTGAAGGAAGTCACCGACTCTGAAGAGGCATGTGTGCGCATCTTTGGAACACGAAGGTCAAAGACTTTGAGGAATCGCTTTCACTCGTGGAGCAAGTTCGCGAGATGGCTGGAGACTTCGAAGGGCCGCGTCTGGCCTGCCGGGCTGCAGGATCTCTTGGATTATGCTACTGAAGCTGTGAAGGAGGGCGCTGGTAAGACGACCATAGATTCTTTTTCAGCGGCACTTTCTGTTCTGGAACAGGTCGGACGTTTCGGGGAAGGTGATATGCTGTCAAGAGATCCAACGTGGATTTCGTACAGTAAGAATGTTACTGCAGAGCTGGTGGAGAAAGGGCCGATGTTGCACCAGGCGGCCCAGCCTACAGTAGCGATGGCGCTTTCTCTCGAGCTTTACGTGTTTGACGAAGATAGAGCAAGATATGCAAGGGCATTGGCTTTTGTTGCACTTCTGATGCTATGGGGGAGCATGAGGTCCGATGACGTTCAGTGCATGAGGCCAGAGAGCATGCGACTCACTATAGAAGGACTGTCTTGCAAACTTTGGAAGACAAAGACGACGGGCCCAGATCGAAGGATCAACATGGTGCAGGTCTTCATATCCCGCAAGGCCAGTTTCTCTGGCTTGGATTGGCTGGCAAAGGGGCATGAGATTTGGTCAGAGATCAAAGACAAAAGGGATTTCTTGGTTTTGCAAGCTTCAGAGGATTGGGAAACCTGCGGCAACAAAGGGGTCGATGCCCCTGCAGTGTCACTCTATGTGCGAAAGATTTACAAGGAGCTTTGTGTTCCGCGCTGGGTCGAGGGCCGCTGGATACAGAACAAGGAGCGTCTGTTACTTCCAGGGGATTGTGCACTGCATTTCTCTGGACATTCAGCGAGGAACTTTCTTACTTCGATCGCGGCAGCCATCAGGGTTCCTAAGGACGACAGGGACTTTCTTGGACGCTGGAAGGTCGGTGGAGGTGGCTCTGCTGACTACACAAGAACAGCTCGGCAAATAGTGCATCGCATCCAGGAGCAGGTTGCAGAGACTGTCTTGCTTGGGAGAGAGCGGGGCTACGTGGAGGCTGATGCTTTGGATGCATTGCAAAGTTTCGCAGAAGAGCGAGGCGAGATTGGTGCCGTGGTCAGGGCAAGGCATGAGCTTGTTAGAGCAAACAAAGTTGGGGGAAACCCCCGACTTGGCGGGCGCTACCCGCCCCTCTACATGCAGAGCATCCCCGGACCTCATGTGATCACTGAGGAGGCAGCGGAGGACCAGCCGGAAACCGCCGCTGCCCCGAAAGGGGAGGCTAAGTACTTTATCAGTGTAAGTAAGAAGACAGGATTCCGCAGACTGCATGTGAATCACGCGTGCTATGTAAAGCCCTTCAAGTGTCAGGATGTCGTATACCTTGATCAGGTTGCTGCCACGGATTTCGATGCAATATGTAAGGATTGCAAGCTCAGAATCAGGTCGATGGCCGATGACAACAAGGCCGAAGACAGTAGCTCAGGGGAGGCAACCACTTCCTCGAGCGATGGAGGACTCCTTTAAGGCTTGCTGTTGACCTTGATCGCAGGCTTGCTACGGTTTCGTGGCGTAGATCCCACTTGACTTGAGCTGGTTTTGGAACATGCTCAAAAGAGGAGTTCGTGCCAGTTTGAATCGGCCGTCTTTGAAGTTCTTGTCGCTGACAGACGCACTGCTTCATGTACCGAATTGAGCGCTCAGGCTGTTGTGGGTTGCGCGCAACGACATTTACTGATCTCTGCAGTGCATCAGGGTTCAGACCTTGGGAAGCTGAAGCAAAGGCCTGAGGGCGCTCAGCGGGGAAGCCAGACCGTAGGCTGCAGAGCAAAGGCCTCGAGGGAGGCGCTGAAGATCCGCATCAGGGATGGCAGTCACAGAAGCAGAGATGCGTGAGAGAGTCAACAGTGTCGATGCCGATCTGCAATATGTATTGCAGGAGGCCGGGGCATCACTCGCCACACAGTATGCAGTTTGCAACGTGCATAGCACACTTCGCAGATTCCAGGCTATCGCTGATGATCGTGCAGGTTCGCGCACGGCTGCGAACACAGACTTTGGAGTGCCAAGAGACACGCCTGCAGGGCGTCAGCAAACGGCTGCTATAGTGGCAGCGTGGGAACTTGCCAAAGAGATTAGCTCCAAAGAAATTGAACTCCGGGCGGAGGCCCGTGCACTCAATCAGCCCAGGATCTTGCAGACCCAGGAAAGGCAGGCCATGCTGCGCGCGGTTTCGGCCGCTTATGGCAAGCTCAACGAGGCCGAAACACCTAGTGCAGAGTACTTGGCTTTGAAAGCAGAAGAGACCGAGCAGAATGAGCCGACTGCGGCACAGCTTGATACTATCACTTCGAAGCGAGATTCTCAAACAGCCACCATCCAGTCTAGTGTTGATCCTGCCGGACATTTGCGCATCACGAAAACCAAGCAGAAAGTCGAGATGCCTCAAAACTCTGAAGCTTACCGGAGAGTCTTGAAGATTGAGGGTTACTCTTGGTTGGCAATGCAGTCCAGGTATAAATCTAAGACTTGGCTTCAGGGCTTGACGATGGCAGATTTCACCAAGTTCGTCGACTACATTCTCGGCGAGCGGGTCGCGGGCCTCAGATTGGAGCAGGCCACGGGCTACGACAGTAGCCAAAATGCACTCTTCCGACCCCCATGGGGGATCGTGCTTCGCTATGAGTACAAGTTAAGGAAAGAAGCTTTCAGGCTAGTGAATGATGAAGGTCAGACGCTTCAAGATGCTTTGGCTGCCGTGACTAAGGATACCGAGCTTAAAGAAGTTCATTTTGTCACTCCCCTAACCTTGACCGCTTTCCCCATGCCATCAAAGTGGACACGCAGGGGGGAGAAAGGTGACAAAGGTGGCAAAGGCAAGGATCCTAGGACAGGGAAAGGCAAGCAAGGGAAAGGCAAAGGCGAAGAGAAAGGTGCATTCAGAGGCCTACAGCTAGTCTGGAGGACACCGGATGGCAAAGACATCTGTTTCGCATACAACAATCAGGGTTGCCAGGGCAACTGTGGGCGCGCACACGTGTGCAGGGTCAAGGGATGCTATAAAGAACATCCGGCCATCCGCCACCAGGAGCTTTCGCAAGGCAACAACAAAGCCGAGTGACGGTCCCCAGCCGCTGGCCTCAAAATCATGTGCTTCGGTCTGCCCTCCGTGCAGGCATACCTTGCATTGCAGCCGGGGGTCAGCGAGTGCAGGGGATACGAGTTTCACAATCCTGACTTGATGACTGATCGGTTTTGGGATTCGATTCTGCAGTGCTTGTGCCAGGGAGATTGGATTTTCTTGGCAAGCCCGCCACTTGAAACGATGTCGCGGGCCAGGCATAAACGGCCAGGACCGGCCCCACTCAGGTCGGAAGCCTGGCCCACAGGTTTTCCATGGTTGTCAGACGACAATAGAATTAAAGTTGAGAAGGCAAATTCTTTGTTCCAGCGATGTGTAGAAGCTGCATCCGCCTGTGCATCCGCAGGAGGCTGCTTTGTGCTTGAGAGCCCTGAGGATTTGGGTGCCACCAAGGACGGTGAGCGGCCAGCGTCATTTTGGCAGTTGCCTCAGGTGCGCGACTTGCAAGTCCAGCATAATGCCACAACTTGGGCATACTTCCGTTGTGCATTCGGTGCACCCACTGCTAAACCCAGCCGCTTCCTCTGTAATTCCGAGCAACTGAAACATCAGCTGCCACCAAACAGCGTTTGGCCCACATTCGATGCGGAAGGCTGCTACACGGGCCCGCTTCCCCCTCGCTGCCCTCACAGCCATCATCCGAAGCCTTTGGTAGGTCGCCAAGGTCGTGATGTGGTTTAGGCCCCGATTCTTCGGAAGCACATGCCCACAACGCCGAGGCTTTAGCTTGTGAGATCCTTTCGAAAGATGAGGCGCCCTGCGCCGAGGACATCATTCGCTTGTACGAAGCTTTGCCGAAGGAGGTGTCAGCCCGTGACCCTGAAGGCCGCATCCCGACAATTTTCAATCGTGATTGATTAGTCTTTATTCTTGCCCAAAAACCTTTTGAAAATTTTGGGTGCGAAAATTTTCTGTCTGCATGTCAATCGTTGTTTCGCCATACACTTTGTTCCCACGAAGCCTTCTTGGCTGAGGTGGGAGGTGGGAAACCCTAGCAACTTTCAAGGCCATATGGCTTGGTTTTGTTTTGTTGCTAGGGGTGTGTGTGTTAAGAAACCAAGTCAGCCTGCGAATTGAGCCATGGCTGACTCTGGCAGATCAAAGTTCCCACGGCTGGACGAGCCTACGAGCGACTTGGGGCGCTTGTATGAGCGGGCATTGAGTGAAGCAAGTGTGCAGCTTGCGGGTCAGGCTACCTTGAAGTTACCCTGGGAGAAGGGCATTTATGCCGAGATTTTCAGTGGTAGCGAGCTGCCTAGGATGCCTACTTTACCTGTGCCTGCTACTCTTCCAGTCGTAGATGTTGCAAGACCTGGGACCCAGCACAGCGAAGCCTTGAAGCAGACATCAGATCCTCTGCCAAAATTCGAGAGTGCAGTCTACAAGCACTGTCTGCATAAATCAACTATTGCTGCTGGCGGGAGACCCGGGACAGATCGAGATGCCGTCTACAGGCGCTGGCTTTGTATCTTGGGCCACAATCTTGCTGGCTCTAAGATTGGAGAGTACATTGCTGATGGTGCCGAAGACCCTCTTGTTTTGATTGCGGACACCTTTGGAGGGAAAAGTACGAGCACCTTGCTTAAGAGAGCCAGGTTTGTCGCCCGGATGCTTACGTGGGCGTCTGAGCATAGTCAGACGTTCTTTCCGCTGCGGCTTGGACCATTGCTTTCATTCATGCGCAGTTTGACATCAGAGAGTGCCAAGGCCCAGTGTGGAGAGACAATCAATTTCCTTGTGCATGTCCTTGGTGTGCATGCCGATCTGGATATTTTGAAGCATCCTGTAATCCAAGGGCTTCTACGGGGGTCTCGGTCAACAGGGAAAGAGATCAAGCAGTCCAGGGTACTCACTGTCCGGGAAGTTATGGCGCTCGAAGATATGCTCAGTGATGCATCCCTTGATCCTGTTGATCGATATGGTGCAGGAGTTTTTCTCTTCCAGATTTACAGCCGGGCACGAGTGTCCGACATCAGGAACATCCAGCGCTTTGAGCTCGACCTGAGTGGAGATGACGGATACCTTGAGGCGAAAACGATGGACCACAAGAATGCGACCAGAGGACGTGGGCTGGGGCAGAGCTTGATTCTCGTTGCTCCGGTTCAGGGCCTGCGGGATAAGGCGTGGGGTATCCAGTTCATCGAGGTTGCAAAGATGGTTGGGTTCAACCTTCGACAGGGTCATCGTGGACCTTTATTACCTAGACTTACTGCCGAGGGTCAATGGTCAGGGGAGGCGATCGGGTCTGATGAGACTACATCGTGGCTCAACGGTCTGTTGAATCGCGCTATGAGTGAGCAGATTGCGTCAGGGCTAACATCCCATGGATTAAAGGCAACAACCCTCTCCTGGATGACGAAGGCCGGGTATCCCGAAAAGTCTTGCCTCATTTTGGGGCATCACGCGAGAGCGGGGAAGAAAACTCTTTACACATACGGCAGAGACGTGCAAGCCAAACCATTACGCGAGCTACAAGATTGCATTCGTCTCATCAAGCGTAATATGTTTGCTCCGGACTCGACTCGAAGTGGCATGTTCAAATCAGGCGAGAGCAGTCAGGAATCAAAGGCTGAGGTTACAGATCCTCTCATTCTCGCTGCTGAACAGTTCCGGTTTGGCGATCCTGATGAAATCATTGACACTGGAGGCGATGTCGGCAGTGAACACGAGCCCTTGCTCGAGGAAGGAAAGCCAGCTGACAATTGTGATGCTGAGCCTGAGCAGGATGCTGAGGATTCCGACTCGAGTACCTCTAGTTCTTCAGGTTCCTCTGATGACCATGCCGAAGCTTATGAGAGTTTCGCCAGTGATGCTGCCCTTGATTGTGCTGTGCCTCACTTGAACAAAGAGGTGGACTTGGATGTTTTCCAGAACCCCAAAACTCTTTCCCTCCATACCCGGGCGAAGGGTTCCGATGGCCCACTTATGTGTGGCCGCAAAGCCGAGGGAATGAAGATTTTTACAAGTAGGGTATACAGCAAGTTTTGGATGTGTAAGCAGTGTGAGCAGGCTCGACCGCTCAGGGACACGAAAGCTGTCGTTGCATACCTGAGCAAAGTTGCCAATCCCAAGAGTGCAGGACCTAGTGGTCTTCATTGAGGATGGCGAGGGCTATGGGCCAGCACAGCGCTTTGCGCGTGCACTCGCAGTTTTGGAGAACATGTGATGGAAAATTGCGCGAGGGCTCCGGGCCTGCATCGCACAGTGTGCCTGCGCTCGCGAACTTGTGCAAATCGGATTTGCGAAGGTTGGTCGAGGGCTTCGGGCCTGCACAGCACATTGTGCTTGCGCTCGCAGTTTAGTATCGTCTACTTTGTGATGGGCTGGGCGAGGGCTTCGGGCCTGCATTGCACTTTGTGCCTGCACTCGCGAACTTGTGCAAACCGATGTGGTGGCTAAGAGTCTGCTTACCGTCGTGTGGTGGCTACGGGCCTGCACGTCGTCCTGAGGACGAGTGCAATCACATGACAGGAATCCTTGACTGGCGTGAGTACCGAATTGAGCCCAAAAGGTGTGTGGAACGTGGTGATGACACGTTGGTCACCCATGTGTGATTACGACTTGTGGGCAGCAGCCAGCTGAATGAATAGAGCCGTCTTATGCGCAAAAGACCAGCAGTAGTGTGTCGGCATGGCGGTTCCACTGACAGAGTCCAAGGCCGTGTTCTTGGAAAGATGTGAGACGGCCGGATTGCCAACGCCGATTCGGGACATCTTGGTTGGCAAGAATCTCAGTACCTTGGCAGGTCTCGCATTCGCAGCGGGGCAGCCGGGGGAAACACCGAGTGATGCAGCGCTTACCGGCCTGGCGAGATCCGGCACAGAGGAAGTTCCAATAGCGACCCTAGCCTCCTTGAGGCGGTTGGTGTTTGAAGCGCAGCTCCTCATGACCGCGCAGGTGAAGATGCTGATCGAGCATCGTGCCGATGACCAAAAGGCGGAATTAGCACCCGCAGAAAGATCGGAGCGAATCCAGAAGCAGAGCGAGCGCCTGGCCGGTGTTGCACTCCGCAACGAGTCAGAATGCTCCTATGGGTCATATGATTTGGTCATGAAGATGGTCCAGGAGAACTGTGTCTCCTACTTGTCTCCAGCTAGGTTTCCGTCTCGGCAGGCCGAACTTCGTCTGGAGAAACCTCGAAAGGAGCTTGATGTGGTCAACTCAAAAATCACTTTGAAGGACCAGGCAGTCGATCTTCAATGCCAGCTTCACACGCCGCTGTGCCTGCATCATGCTCTTCATCGACGGGCACTTGCAATGGATCTCGTTGGGGTAGCCAGCTACAGTGTGAGCATGGAATTTCACGAGTACTTGATGTCACACCTTACCATGGAGCCACCGCCTGGCTATCATCAAGTCACACTGCATCAGGTTCTAGCAGCTGACCGAGCCGCTTGGTTGCGACTCGCGGAGAAACTTCCTAAAGGGCTTCGTGCTGGTCCCGATGGGAAACTCCCGCTGGATATCGAGCTCCCGAAATTGCAGGGCGACCCGAAAGTGGCTTTTCATCTCTTACCTCTGGGACCTTCTGCTTCATCATCCGGGAAGCGTTCGATGGATGGCGACCAGGGCCAGAACAACGATTCGAAGATCCAGAGGACTGGAGGCAAGGGTAAAGGGAAGGGCAAAACCAAAACCAAAGCCTTTCCTAAGTCTATGCCTGTGTCCCTCAAAGACAAGTGGTCGCGAACCAAACGTGGTGTTCCGATATGCTGGGCCTTCAACACGGAAGAGGGCTGTAGCTCAGCTCCAGCTGGAGGCAGATGCCCGAGGGGTGTCCACCTTTGCGCTGAACCTAACTGTCAAAAACCCCACTCGATCGTCAATCATGCAAAGGTTGCCAGTGGGTGAACTTTTCAGAACGCAGGTTGTGACTTGATTGAATCACTGGAGGTTTTCCTTAACCGGGCTAGGGCTCGGGTAACTGGTGTTTCGATCGAGGCACTCTTTGGAGTTGAAGTTTTTGCAGGGTCTGGTCGCTTGACTTGCGAGCTCCGCAGGCTGGGGCTTAATGATAGTATTGGTGTTGACAAGAATGTCGGCCGATGCTTGATCGCACCGGTGTTGCGTCTCGACCTTGGTGACGAGCAGGCGCGCGAGCTTGTCGTGCAAATGCTAGAAAATCCCAATTGTGCCTACGTTCATGTTTCTCCCCCTGCCTTGAACCAGAAACATCGCAGTTTGAAGCATCGTGATGGTGCCGATGCTTCGTGCTATTCAGCCTCGTGTAGCTTGTTGTACGAGTTCTGCGGGAAGCTCTTTAGCATGTGCTGGTCCAAAGGCATTCTCTTTTCTTGCGAAAACCCTGGACAGTCAGAGCTGTGGCGAACGCCACAGTGGTGCAAGCATACGTTGTGTTTAAATTCCATTGATACTGTTTTTCACATGTGCATGTGGGGATCTCTCAGCCCTCGTTTCACACGTATTGTTCATTCTGTGCCTTCGCTAACGCAGCTGGGTGTGCGTTGTTGCGGTGTAAGCTCCAGCCACACGCATGAGTCCCGAAACGCGCTCCATGACTCCACATTCCCTCTAGATCTCAGTCGTGCGTGGGCAAATGCAATTGTGGAGCAACTTGTTGCTTTGGGCGCCCTGCCTCGTGCGCGCTCCTTGGATGAGTCTCGAGCTCCCCTACACCGTGAAGCCCAGGTGGCAGCGGCTTCACAGCCAACACGCAAGAAGGTGCCTCCTCTTGTTAGTGAATTTCGCTGCGTGGCGACAATTGACACGCCCAAGCCTTTTCTTGACACAGCTTCCAAGAAACTTGAGGGGCCAATTCCCATCCCTGCGGGTGCCAAGTGTGATACTACGTTGACTGTGCTACCGGCAGGCTCTCGCGTCATTCGCAGGCAGTTGCTGGGGGTGAGTTCGCCTGCTTTGAAGCTCGATGTAGGGTCGGAAACTAGCAATCCCACTAGCGGCCGTGTTGCTTCTTTTCCTGAAGTAAGCAAGCCCAAGCCTGATCGAGTGCAAGTGTGTTCTGAAGCCACTCATCCCGCAGAGGCTTTTGCTGCATCGTGCCTAAAGCTGGGGTATATCGACCCGGGAAAAATTTCCGAGTTCACTCAACTTCTTGAGTCGGAGCTTCCGGCCAGGGGGGATGGAGGTCAGCACGAATTTTCCTTCACGGTGGGATCCTTTGTTCATGGCGGTATTTATGGGCTTAGAACTTCTTCGGTTAACTTTCCGCTGACAACTCAGGTCCTTGCAAGGTTCATGCGCCAGCAGTGCCCAGACGCTGTTTTCACGAGCCTGGCTTTGATGAGGGATGTGCAAACTACATTACACATCGACACGAACAATTCATTACCCTACCTGAACACTGTGGCGAAGGTCACCAATTTCGAGGAAGGGGGTTTGTGGGTTCACAACGATCACGGCGACATGCCTTGCCCTGATGCAAATTTTGGGCAGCTGATGGGAACGAAGGTCGACTTCGAAAACGGAGTTATCAGGTTCGATTCGCATCTTAAGCATTGCACACTCCCGTGGGTCAAGGGGCCCCGTGTGGTTCTTATAGGGTTTGTCGTGAAGGGTCCCGAGTTGATGCCATCCGACTTAGTGAGTAACCTTGTTGCTTGTGAGTTCAACATGCCGGATGAACCCTTTGTGCAGCCTCTCCCCAACGAGGAACACTCCTCACCGGCAGGGCCCGAGGAGTCCCATTGGCATAGGGTTGTAGTAGGCATCCCATGGTTACCCGAAGAGTTCATCGGTAAAGCCCTGGAGGCTACGCACCCGAGGCACTTGATGACAGGCATCCCATCCGAACTAAAATCCACAATCGATCAGCTTGTAACCCTTAGCCCATTTGAGGTTGGAGCCGAGAGGACGGCCCAGCTTAGGAAGTGGGTTGCGAGGGTACAGGAGGTTGAGCCGATGGAAAAGTTGATCAAGCAGCGGATGAGCGAATCTTGTGCAAAAGTCCTTCGGAGTAAACGCTTGGTGGTCTTCAAAGAAATGCTTGAAGCCAGTGGTCACAAGGATGATTCGATAGTCGGCGACATTGCCGAAGGTTTCAAGCTTAGCGGTCCCATACCGCCATCTGGGGTTTACAGGTCAAAAAGAACTTCGGCGACCCTCACCACGGCGACGTTGAGAAGATCAGCACAGGTGCTTCGGAAAGGAATCATACACTCAACTAAGGGATCAGGCGACTTTGAGCTTGATTGTGCAACATTCGAAGCTACTCGTGATGAGCTTCATCGAGGGTGGCTTTTCGGACCTGTGCCAGAGAAGGACCTCCCTTCTGAGGCAGTGGTTACCCGTAGATTCGGCATACGTCAAGGAGGAAAGTGCAGACCCATCGACAATTACTTGGAATCAGGTGTCAACGCGACAACTAGCGCTGCGGACACCATCACTGTCCACTCGGCCGATGTGCTCGCTGCCGCCTTGTCATACCGCATCCACAAGCTCCGATCAAAGCGACTGCCAGCAAGCTTGTATTCCAGGTCGTGGGATCTTGCCAAAGCATACAAGAATCTTGCGCTCCACCCTGAATCAGTCCCTGATGCTTTCCTGGCCGTATGGAACCCACATACACATAAGACTGAGATCTATGGCCAACTGGTGTTGCCATTTGGTGCCAGATCCAGCGTACATTCTTTTTGCAGAACTTCGCTGGGGATTTGGAACATAGGGGTGGTGTTGTTCCTCCTGCACTGGGGGGTATACTTCGACGACTTCTTGGGATCCGAAACACCCCACCTGTCCAAGCTGTTCGAACTCTGCGCAGACGGGTTGTTCCTGATATTGGGCTGGGCTACATCCTCTGACAAAGCTTCGGTTTTTGATTCCATTTCGATTGTACTTGGCCTGAAGATCAATCTCTCCGAATCTGGAATCGGCTTCGTCTACTTTGAGAATACCGAGAAGAGGCGAGATGAGCTGGTGTCCACTCTCGGCGATGTCCTTTCTGCGGGGTTCCTTAGCCGCAAGGACGGCGAGCGACTACGTGGCAGGCTACAGTTCGCAGAGCAGCAGATTTCTGGCAAAAAGGCTGGATTGGCCTTTAAGGAACTCTCGAGGCATGTGACGAAAGGGGGCGGCAAGTTGGTACCCGAAACCATGGCCGCCCTGACCACCCTTAAAAACCACATTGCTTGTGCTCCAGCTCGCTGCATTGCGGATCGATCGTGCTTTACCTGGCACCTCTATGTCGACGCTTCATACGATGATTCGCGGGCTGGTATTGGTGGCATCTTGATCTCAGAGTCGGGGGCCTACATTGGCCACTTCAGTGAATTCCTCGACGATGCAGCTTTGACATCCTTGAATACAACTGGGAGCGAGAATCCGATCTTCGAGTTGGAGTGTTTCGCTATCTGGTGTGGCATTTCCGCTTGGGCACGCTTGCTTCGCCACTGCCATCTTATTGTATTCACTGACAACGAGGGAGCTTTGCACTCGATGATCAATGGTCGCAGCGAGAATGATTCTGGTGGCCGTATCGTTTCTGCTACGCATAACCTACTTGATGAAGGTTGCATTGCTCCGTGGTTTGAGCGTGTCAACACAGCTTCCAACATAGCTGATTTTCCTTCGCGGGGAGTCTCTAAAGAAGAGTGGGGAGCGAGAACTCCCATTGATTTTGTGCGCCTCGCACGGGTGGCTGAAGCAGGGGGTGACGTGCCACCGTTCGAGGCTTTCAGCTCGGCGGTGTAATGTGTGTGTGGTGTGAGGTCCCACACGTGGGCTCAGTGGGGCACTGCCGTATTTGCGGCGTGCCAACTTAGTGAATTCATCACCCCTTGACTTCGAGTATCGTCGTAAAAGATTGCCCGAGCGCGAGTGTTTGCACCATATTCATATGCAAAGATATTTGATTGACTTCCCGGCGATTCAATATATACTTTTATGATTTCACATATTGATGTGAATATCTCCGTTGCGATTTGATTGACATGCGCGGTTTTTGGGAACAAGAATAAGACAACTTTCAATCGTGATTGATTAGTCTTTATTCTTGCCCAAAAACCTTTTGAAAATTTTGGGTGCGAAAATTTTCTGTCTGCATGTCAATCGTTGTTTCGCCATACACTTTGTTCCCACGAAGCCTTCTTGGCTGAGGTGGGAGGTGGGAAACCCTAGCAACTTTCAAGGCCATATGGCTTGGTTTTGTTTTGCCCACCCGCCCTCCCTTGGGGGTGACGTGCCACCGTTCGAGGCTTTCAGCTCGGCGGTGTAATGTGTGTGTGGTGTGAGGTCCCACACGTGGGCTCAGTGGGGCACTGCCGTATTTGCGGCGTGCCAACTTAGTGAATTCATCACCCCTTGACTTCGAGTATCGTCGTAAAAGATTGCCCGAGCGCGAGTGTTTGCACCATATTCATATGCAAAGATATTTGATTGACTTCCCGGCGATTCAATATATACTTTTATGATTTCACATATTGATGTGAATATCTCCGTTGCGATTTGATTGACATGCGCGGTTTTTGGGAACAAGAATAAGAGCTCCTTCTCCACGGGTGCCTACAACAAGGGAGGCTTGACAGGCCTGAGGAAGGCATGCCACGATTTCCCGCTGGCCACCAAGTGCTTGGTCCGTTTTGTTCGAAGCATGCGTCCTTTCCATCCTTTCAGCACCATCAGCATTTACGACAATGTGTGCACTGCCCTCCATAAGGACAGCCGCAATGCTTGCTGCGAGAACTTGATAATCCCTCTTACCCAATTTTCTGGGGGCGAGTTGTGGATGCAACAAGACAAGGGTGCTACACCTCAGGACTTTGGGGGCTCTGAAGTGTTTGGGACGGCAGTGCCGATTCCCCCAGAAGGCTTGTGCTTCGATGCTCGTGGCATCTTGCATTGCACCATGCCTTGGAAGGGCCGCCGACTGATTGCCGTTGCATTCACGGTGTCGAAGACTGAGGAGCTGAAGCAATCGGATGCGCGGCTTCTTGAGGACCTTGGAATCAATTGCCCTTCCGCAAGTCAGTTGACAGGGAGGACCTTGGATGCCGGGGAGCTGTCATCGACGGAGAGCTCGGAGTCGGAACCACCATCTGGTGGCGGGGACCAGCAAGCAGACGATGTCTTCAGACCAGAGCTTTGTGGCAACTTCGGAAACCCCTTGATGCTGGAGTGGGACGGGAGAGAGTCGCCTATCACTGACGGCTATGGCCTTTGTTCTCCAACGCGTTGGCATCCTGCCTCCCGTGGAGCATCGCTACCAGAGAAATCAAAGGACCTGTCGAGACGCTTGAATGGCTTGGTGCAGCAATTTGTCGCAGAGCAGGTGCCAGACTGCCAGTTGCTGGCACTCAAGTTGGCCACCGGACAGATTCTGGAATCGCCATTCGAGGAGGGTGCAATGCGACGCCTTCGCGAGGACTGGGCTGCACTTGTATGTGAGACCGATGGAGCCAAACACGAAGGTTTGCTGGAAGTTCCTGATCCTCAGCCTTTCTACCTTCGGTTGCTCTCGCACACATCGCGCTTGATGGAAGATCCAGACTGGAAAATCTTGACAGAGGGCGAGGAGTGCTTTGAGAAAGGTGTCCCATTGGGCTACGACGAGACCATACCTAGGGTCCCGCAGGTTTTCGATCGGAAGGTCAAATGGAGAAAGCTTGATGAGAGCACCTTCGAGGCTGTCAAAGAAAATTACCAGAGCGCGAAGCTCACCGTTCAGGAGATGGAGCTGAAGTTCAGGGAGGAGGAGAAGCTTGGGCGGATGTACCCTACCACTTACTCCGCTTTGGCGGCCGAGCATGGAGCTGACAGGGTTCGTATAGCAGCGATGGGGGCGGTCGCCAAGCCAGACGGCAGCGTCCGTCCCCTACATGATGGCACCCACGGGGTGAGGATCAACAATGGCATTCGCTTGCTGAACCAAACGGCCACGCCGGGCCCTGCGGAAGTGGCACACGCAGTGAGCTCTGCTAAACGATCGCGCGAGGCAGCCTTTGGAATCTCAGCTGACGTGAGTGCAGCACACCGGCTTGTCAAACACAGGCGTCGGGATCACCCCTTGATGGCATGTAAAGCAGATTCTTCAAGCACCGTCGTTTGGGTCAACGTTGTAGGAACATTTGGACTGAGTGTCGCTTCATTTTGGTGGAGCAGATTGTTCGGGCTCGTGGGCAGGACAGTCGCCCGAGCAATGCTTCAGGAATGGTTCTATCAACTTTGCTTCGTGGACGACATCCACGGTGTGTTCACTGGAGCACATAAGTTCCGAAATCTGGTGATGTGGTTCGTCTTGTACCTTGCCTTAGGGACCCCTTTCTCCTTTAAGAAGTTTCGGGGAGGTTTTAAGGTTCCTTTCGTGGGCTTCGAGCTCGACTACCGATCATGGCAAGTTGGCATGTCGGACTCTCGAGGAGCTTGGATCGTTTCGTGGATCAAAGATGCCAGGACCAAACGCTTCGTGGTTCAGGTCCGACTCTTCAGGGAGTTCCTTGGCCGGTTGGGGTTTGTTTCTAGGATAGTGGTTTGGATTAAGCCTCACCTTGCTCCACTGTATGCGTGGGCATCAGCGGTGTCCCGGAGCACCGTCGCCAAGTTGCCTGAGACTGTCATCTTGACACTCCTGTACTTGGAGAAGACGCTTGATGAGTACACTTTTAAGGTTAACCCATGCCGCAAACCCAAACACCAGGTCGCGGGCTTCAGGACAGATGCAAAGTGTGCCGACGGATTCGTCGTGTTGGCCGGTTGGGAGCTAAGTGATGACACCAAAAGTTCAAAATGGTTTTCGCTGCGCTTGACACCGAGTGACGCACCATACTTGTTTGATCAGGAGGGGAAATCACAATGGGCATCAGGCTCAGCAGAACTGCTGGCAACATTGGCGGCCCTTCACGTCTTCGGATACTTGACCGCCTCTGTGGACAGAAAGGAACTGGACGTCGAGTGCGCGGCGGACACAGACAATCAGGGCAACTCGAGATTGCTCAAGAAGGGGTCCTCAACCAAGTGGCCCCTGATGTTGATCAACATGCAGTTGTCTGATTTGCTTCTTCGCTCTTCCTTGAAGCTCCTCCTACGGTGGAGGCCGCGCGATGAGAATCAGTACGCAGACCAGCTTACGAATGAGATTTTCACTAACTTCTCGGACGAACATCGCATTGCATGCACATACTCGGATTTGCCCCTTGCGCTTCTGCATCAGTTGTGGGAGACAAAAGAAAACTTCGACTCAGCACGAAGGGCTCAGGCCGTGCTTCAGCAGGATGCCTCGGGGCATCGTCCTCAGAAGAGGAAGGCAGAGAAAACACCTTGGTAGTGCGTCCCTGAAGGGGAAAGGGGGTGGGATGCATCAACATGCATCCGCCCTACCAAGGGCACCGCGAGACTACCAACCGCTGCGAATAAAATGAGTGTCGTCCGAGTGCTCTTGATTGCTCGACGTATTTCCTTTCGCATGTCACATATTTATTCCAGTTGGATTCATTTGGAAGATACGATATCTGATTCTCTTTTATAGAAAGACGTTTGTTTTAGTTTGCGAGGCTTCTTTTGAAAGAACGGATAACCCCAACCTCTAACCACGAAGCTATGCGAAGGACAGGCTAAACCGGGTTTCACCCTGTAGATCTGTCCGGAGCTAGCCGACGGGCGGGGGGGGGGTTGTTGTCTGAGGACTTGGATCTTAGGCGGATCCCGTGCTCTTGCTTGAAAGAAAATAATTTCCTCGGTCAGATTTTGTTTTCTCCTTTTGGCATGAATTTCTTTTGAGTGATTTCGAACCATCTTATTTCAGATCAGTCTTGCCGTATCGCGAAGTTGAAGCATTGAACAGATAGCCACGTCAGGCTCAGGCCGTGGCTCGATAAAATTTTGTTTAGCCCACCCAACCCACCCTGGAATGCCAGAGCATTTCCGAGAATAGACCGTTCCATGCCGCGGGGGGGTGGGATGCATCAACATGCATCCGCCCTACCAAGGGCACCGCGAGACTACCAACCGCTGCGAATAAAATGAGTGTCGTCCGAGTGCTCTTGATTGCTCGACGTATTTCCTTTCGCATGTCACATATTTATTCCAGTTGGATTCATTTGGAAGATACGATATCTGATTCTCTTTTATAGAAAGACGTTTGTTTTAGTTTGCGAGGCTTCTTTTGAAAGAACGGATAACCCCAACCTCTAACCACGAAGCTATGCGAAGGACAGCATCAGCAAGTTTGAGGATCCAGGGAGCTTCGAAGGAGGGCTTGCCGCCATAGAAAATGCGGATGAGCTCCACCTTTGCATCAGCGACAGGAATGTCCACGTACTTAGCGATCGCCTCCCGCCATGACGCATAGTGCTCCACAAACAGGTTGAGCATGGGGAACCTGGTCTCGTCCCAAAGTTCGAACATCTGGAGCTTTCGCACAAGAAGGCGGGGATGACAACATGCTGCGTCCACTTCGGCCGAGTCGAGGCCGAATGCCACTGTCCGAGCCTCCTTCGTGAGCTTCTGACCTGAAGGTCCACGAGATAGTAGGCGACCATAATGTGGAAGCTTATAGTACTCGACCTGTAGAAGCGAGGAGCTACCCATCTTGGTTCCCATTGCACGATGGCGCTGGAGGTAGTGACGTAGAAGGTCCTGACGGCGATCTGTCTCATGGGCCGCATAGTCCTCGAGGGCGTTGAGATTGATCGTCTCTAACAGGCGACACTCGACAGGCCGCACCAAAGTTGCTTCCGTGGTTTGTGTGCGATGTCGCAACATAGTCTGACGTTGATGTTCAAACGCATTGCCGTCCCATTTCTCCTGCTCATGTAGAAGCTGAAAGGGACAGGTCCAGTCAGCCCACGTCCCAAACACTGCAGAGCCACCATGCTGTTCCATCGCATCGACAAGCCGCTGCCAATCAATCAGTAGTTTGTGAAAGCACGATGAGTCGACCTGATTGAACAAACGACTGTTAGCAAGGTCTAAGGCCTCGACGAAATTGGACAATTTCTTCTTCTTCCCTTTGGACGATGCGGCACATCCAGGTAGGACCTCGACCTTATGAATGAGATACTCCTTGAGTATTCGTCTCTGCGGGGTGTTGGCATGCACCTTCTGGACAAGAGTCTCCGCCTCTATGATAACGTCAACTACAGTGCCTGGGGGAGGGGTTGTTGCACCTGACAACGACGAGGACAACCAGTTTGTGTCGCGGACTATGTCTTCATGAATGCTGCCAGGGTCGTTGATCATATTCATGATATCCTGCTCACTGTTTTCCCTGAAGAAAGGAATGCAATATTCGCGAAGGTAGACTGCCGCAGTGATGGGATTCGACAGGAAACTGGTGAGCTCATCCTGTGGAATTAACTTATAGATCCCGCGGGAATGGTCTACCTGGCTGTCGTCCATGGTGAAGGTAACCTTGCCCATGAGAAAGCAAATCACACGTCGTCTAAGTTGCTCCAAGCTCTTGGTGCGGTCATTGCTCTCTTCGATTATGGGAATATTTTCGAAGTTGAGCTCTTGAATCTTCATCGCGGAGCCGAATCGTCGCTTGCTCGTGAATCCGGAATTGACCCTGCAGTCGATTTCTTCATCGACTACAAACCGTTTCCAAACATCTGCCACAAACCGCCCACGACTCTCCATCTCCTGGATGCGTATGCTGGCGTTGTTCCATGCAAGTTCAGCTGACTTCCTGAACTCCACCCTGTCAAGGAACACACCGCAGTCTAAAGTAGCAGTGGCCAGGTCACCAAAGAGTGCTCGATCCAAAACCGCCTCCATCCCTTTACCGTCGCCGCCTTTACCCACCTGAAAGATTATCTTTCCAGTGCATTTCTTTGCGAAGGCTGCTTGCATGAAACACAGCTTCAACTGGAAGAGATGTGGGCTACCGAAGTAGAGCGATTCCAGAAACGTTTTCAGTCGCGTACGGACTTCTGCAATACTGATGTTCTGGTGGTCAGCCATCTTGTTCTCCCAAAAGAAATGGTAGTCAAGCTTCAAGTAGCAATTGGCCTCTGCAGACTTGTTTGCGACGTTCCAATTCTTATCCAAGTACACGTCCCGGAAGCAAACTCCATTCGACACTGGCATTGTAGTATCCCATTCTGTCAGGAAGAGTTTGGTGAGCCCCTTCGTTGTATTCTCAGATTCCAATGCCTTGCGAAACTGTGCGAGCATATCGGCGACGCGTCGTGTCCACCGAGCCTGCCATACTTTGTTCCCCGTTTTGACACGCACATGGTCGCTGTTGCTTTTGGCGACGTCAGTCAAGACTTGCATCACATTCAGATCAGCCTCGACCATGTCTCCGACAATGTCCATCAAGTAAGTCTTCACATCATGCCAAGTCCAGGACACCTGCAACTCCTGATCGTCCAAAGAGGTGGACAGCTGGACGAAGAGGCCTTCCAAGGCCAAGAGTAGATCCCATCTACGAACTGTAAAGGAGGGTACCATGACCCATGCTCCATCTTCATAATGGAAGACTTGACGCTGATGTGCCCGCCATTGTTCACCTTCCAATAACAAGCACATAGTGAGCTTTTGGATGTTGCTCATCATGTAATTGGAGCAGTTCATAGCACAAATGAACTTGGCAATGACCATGAGTCGGCATACTCCATCACCAAGTCCACCGAAGAGGTCTACACTCTCGATGTTCATCTCCTGGATCTTTTCAACGAGAGAGAGGGGCTTGACATCAGGCACAAGTGGCGGAACCGGTCCCGGACCACTTGCAGTCTGTATCTCCGAGAAGGCTTGGAACCTGGACAACGTATATGAAGGGAAGCTCATGATACAGTAGTATGTAAACATGTATCATGGCTTCAAATGCCTGAACATGTCATACGATCTCTAAGATTCCCACAAATTGGCTCCACGTAGGCGTTTCGCTGCCGGTGGAGCGGGAGACGATGGTGATACTGCGGCCTTCGCTGCGCCCACCTTGATCTCTACTTCGGTGTTGTTCTCCTGGGGTAATGATGCCGCTGCTCCGTTAGCCGACGATGCTGCTGGTTCTACAGGGGGACTCACTGGAGCGGCAACATCCGGAGCCCGTGCGATCTCATCGATGGACACTGCAGGGGTAAGACTTGTCTGATCGTTCATAAGATTTTCCAAGTCCACCTCAAGGGAATCAGGACCTCCAGCAGCGCAGTCCATGGCACAGGGAGCAGGGTCAGGCTGAGTTCAACGCTCGGGAGCACGGGAACACTCTCAACAGAAACGCTGCGAGAAATCTGACATCCAGCTATGAGTTGACATGGGCATCCACAACAACACACCGTTTCCCTTGCTTGGGGACACGGCGGATGTTCTTCGTGCAGTTGAACCACCGCTGCTCCTCGGAGCATGCACCTTAGCAGCACCAGCATGTGGGCTAGCAGCATCAGTATGTAGGTGCGACATTTTTGAAGCATGGTCCTGCATCAGGAGTACACGTCAAATCTAGAACGGGTTAGCATGGACTTGAATAGGAATGACATCCACAAATCGAGCATTCGTGTGTCGAATGGTGTCCACGCAGTTTGTACATCTGAGGCTGTGGGTATCAAGGTTCGGATCATGGCCCTGTACAAGGCTTCCCTTTCAAATGTAGAACGGACTAGCATGTCCTGCGGCAAGGATGACACACACAAATCCACGATGTTTACACGGATAGGCGCGCGAATAGCTTATGCAATGGCCCCGCACCAGAAGTATACGCTACATCTAGAACGGATTAGCATGGACTTCCATAGGCACGACACTCACAAATCGAGCATTCGTTTGTTGAGGGGCTTCCATGCAGCTTCTACATTTTAGGCTGTGGGTCCTGCGACGAGGATGACACCCACAAATCCATGATATTTTTGCACGGATATGGGCGCCCGCAGCCTGTATCTGCAAGAAAGAAGTCTTGAACAGGTTATCCTGTTCTACAAGAGCAAGGACATGGGATCGAGGGAGAAGGGGACAAGAGGACGAAGGGATCAGGGGACAAGGGGACAGGGGGCAGAGGGACAGAAGGACAGGGGGACAGAGGGACCGCGGACGGGACAGGGGGACAGGGGGACAGGGGGACAGGGGGACAGGGGGACAGGGGGACAGGGGGACAAGGGGGACAGAGGGACAGGGGGACAGGGGGACAGGGGGACAGGGGGACAGGGGGGGACAGGACGCAGGAGTGTGCGTGTTTCGGGGTGAGTGTGCGCGTATCCGGGTGGGTATGTGGTTATGTGTATGTAGGTGTGTTCAGATCTTTGTATGTGTGTGTGTGTGTGTGAGTATGTGTGCGTGTGTGTGTGTGTGTATGTGTGTGTATGGGTGTGTGGGTGTGGGTGTGTGTGTGTGTGTGTATGTGAGTGGGTGTACGTGTGTGTTTGTATTGGAATTCGCATGGGTGTGTCTATGTACACATGTACGCGTTTGTGGGTGCTTGTGTGTGTATGTGTGCGGGTGTGCGTGTATGTGTGTGTGTGCATATGTTGACATAGTGTGTGTATGTACAACAGGTACGACATGTTGCACATTGAGTCTCCCTGCACAAAGCTTATAAAAGCATTTTTGAGCGTCCGCGCCACAGCTCCGATCACCACTTTAGTTACAGCCGTCGTTGGGCATGGAGCACAAAGCCTCGCCGGGATAGTACTCTGCTTCATCTCGAGGAGATGCATAGCTCTGCTCACGTTTATTGCGCGGCTTCCACCAACTTCGGTTGTAGAAGCTCTGGTGCTGCATAACCTCTTGACGGCGCTTGGCCTCTCTTTCCGTAGCCTTCTGTTTATCACGTTCTTGTTGAAGTGTCAACCTCTTCACTTTCAATGCTTCCAACTGAACTTGGAGAGCAAGCTTCGCGTCAACACCCCTGGCCGTCTTCTGGGTCATCTCTGCTCTTGCTTTGGCTTTCTCTAGCTCGCGCTTTTGAGGCTCAGCATCTGTCTTGATAGTGGTAGAAGTCTTGCAAGTGCAGCGGTTACCGCCCCATTTGGAGCATCCCGGACACTTCTTCCGAGCCATGGTCGTGTCTTGATCTATGTCTTGGGGCTACTGTGGCTTGCAACGGCTTCGCTAGGAGGTTGCGGACGATAGTAATCGGAATAGGAATAACAATACAACGCAAACAAGAATAAGATAGTAGATAAACCAATGCAGCTCAAGCCCGTCTGCAGCGCTGAGGCCAACACCTGATGCGGACACAGAAGTAGCTTCATATTAAATAATATATCCTATATAATTAGGTATGCATGCAGGAATCGTGCCTCGAAGTATTCGTTTATCATATTGCCATACATCAACTAGAGAGTTATATGTATATGACCCCATATATCGACACTCCAAGGAACAATAAGAAAAACGTAAAGTAAAAAATGAAAACTCGCATGCCGGTCAGCTTAATCATAGCTGCGCAATATTCTTTACGTGGGTTAACTGACTAAATGAACAAACACATAGACGGCGAGGTACAGCCAGCGAGGGGGGGAGAGGGGGGGGGGGGGCGCAAAAAAAAAAAAGGGGGGGCAAAAAAAAAACTAAAATCTATTTTTTTTTTTTGGCGCTGCCCCCCCCGCCAGATTTTTTTTTTTTTTGGTGGCTGCCCCCCCCCCCCCCCCGCGGGGACAGCCTGTTCGGCCCTTGCGCATAACAGAAGTCTTAAAAGAAGACATTGCGTATATATAACAAAGCAGCTGTGACGGTAAGGACAAGTGAGAGATCAGTTTACGAAATGTTGCGATATCCCAAAAGGATAAAATACAAACCGAATTATTCTAAATATGTTTGGACTACCAACAAGGAGTGTCGAAAATATGGGGCCCGTAATGTCTTATTTTCTGGAACAAAAATATGAACAGGGTCCGAAAAAAGACACGGGGTCAGTTACGAGATGTGTCGAGGCCGGAAAAAGACGGCTTAAATCGTAGAGTCGTAGTCGTAGAGTGGAGGTCGAAAAAAAGATCGTCATCTTTTGCAAGACATCGTCGACGCTGACACATGAAATGTCATGACTCAAAATGGTCGCGTCATTTAGATCGGCCAAGGATGTTTCGAAGTTTACAGTCAGGAAAGTTATTGGACCCGTTTGGTTCCCTTTGAACAGATGCAGGAGGATCTGTCAAAGACTCTTCGAGTTCCATGCTGTCTTGTCTTCGACAGGGCCGGTGCGAACCTTTTCGCTTGGAAGCGCCTCCTCAAGTGTGTTGTACAAACTTGATTGTGTTGGGCCAGGAAGCCGACGAGAACTGCTCTTAACGGCTGTGTCAGTCTGTCTGCGTCTCTGCGCAAAGCGTCAACCTTCGACTGCTCTGCAGTTCGAAGACCTGTGGCCCTTAAAACATTAATGCAAACGAACTTAACACTGTAACAACACTTGCTTGATAAGCAAAAAGCCGCAACTGGTAAAGTCAGAACAAATCCATTGCTGCTCGGTCCATTTGAACCTTGGAAAACCATGAAAGAACACGATTGTATTTCCCATCCAGAGTTCGAACAATACAGTTTCTAAGTTGAAGTTCCCCAGTCCAGCGATTTAGATCAAACTTGAGTTGCCTATGAAATTCCCCAGCTCAGTTCGGAAACATTTCATCAGCTTCCGCTCCAAGCTCCAATGAATGTGTAGAGGGCGGTGTGTGTTTACAGGCATGCACATGTGGCGCCCGAGGACGCTGTCGGGCCAGAGGGTCCCACACATATGTGTGCGTACGTGTGAGTGTGGCGCCTGAGGACGCTGTCGAACCAGAGGTGTGCGTGTGATGCTTGACTACGCTGTCAGACACCATGACCCTGCACCTTGTCCTATGTGTTTAGTAGGTGACGTGTGTCGGAGAAAGATGATCGTCGATCGTAGATGAAAGGGTGGAGTAAATAATTTGATCGCTGATCAAGTCTTATCCGTTGGGTGATTTGGGGTGTGAAAAACTTCAATTTTTTTTTTTTGTGCGTGGGTGGGGGGGGGTGGCGTTGTCTCGTGGTGCTACCGTCGGGTGGTGGTCAAAAAAAATTCCGCTATGCCTCTTCCTGTGCTCGTCTCGTTTGCCTTTCGTGTTTACGACATGTGTCGACTCGATTGAACACTCGATTACAGCATCTGCATGTGCGTTGGGCCAGTTCGCTGCCTCGACACTGGTTCTCGTGAGATTGCGTGGCTGTGATTGTGGGCCATCTTTTCTCGCATTTTGAGCATGTAGTGTTTGTGTCGACGAATCGAATCCTGGACTAGCCGCTCTGCGCAGATTCCTCCCGCCTGTTGCCACCCGCAATCGCATTTCCAGTCGTCGCTCGATACTGTCGTCTCGTTGTACCGCTGTGGGCAAGAGGCTTCGTGATTGATCCGTTTGGACATGTCTTGAAACCGTTTGTTGCAGTGGCGGCATACCTTGTTTTGTTCCTCATCACCAGTACATTTGGCCTCATGAGCGAACCTCGCCTTATCCTTCTGAATGACTCCACATTTGCGACATGGCTGTTCGTCCGTGAGTATGACGCCCGCGGCTGTGCACGTTTTTTCATGGGCACCGCATGTGCGGGCGTCCATGAAAATGCGGCCACATCTCCGACACTTCTCCGTGTTCAGCGCAGTTAACGTGTTCTGATGTGGGGCTGCCCATCGTCGGGAGTGTTTGCCTATCCTTCCTTTGCTGCCGGCGTCAGCTAAACGATCGGCTTTTTCGTTGCCCGCGTGATTCGAGTGTCCCTTTACCCACTGCCATTTGATGTGGTGTGTCGTGCGCATGCGCTCGTAAAGCGTGCGCATTGGTGGGCGAGTGCCAAATTTTGTTGCGGTGCTATGATTCCCTGCGTGACTTCCGCGGCGTATTGAGAGTTGTAACAGATTGTCGCTGTTTTGTGTCGACGACCCGGGGCCTCGGTGTTCAGCCAAATGAGGGCCTCCGCTATGGCAGTCAGTTCGGCTGTGTTGTTGGTTTGTTTAGTGGCCCCCCAAAAACGCTGATCCGTGTTGTCGGTTAGCACCGGGCCGCTTATCTCGAAGAGACTATGTTGAGCCTCTGTGTCTGAAGCGTCATATATGGCTAGTCCCCATCCGGCCTCTTTGTGTGTCTCGGAGCCTCCAGACCCGTCCGTGTAGAGTGACCATTCCTGTGGGGGGGGGATGAGTTGTGGGATACGCAGCGGCTTCCATCCATGCTCGTCCGTACCCTCCTCCTGTGGTATAAATGGTGGGGCATGTGTGGGTGGCGAGCTGATGCGCATTGTGAAAGTGTCGTAGGCATTCCTTGCACGCAAAAGTGGGTATGGTCGTAAGGTGGAGGCCGACCACTGCATGGGTGTTTCTATTGTGAGTGCGTCGTTCATGTGCGTTTCGGCTGATCAGGCTGCATGCGGGGCATTCCTTTCTCGTGACGTAGCTGGCCGGTTTGACCCATACATTGCGTGTGTGCCGACGGCGTACCGTGGTGTCTGGCAGCGGTTGACCTACCTTCCAGTTGTTAATGGCCTGTTTGGCTCGCTGGTTGAGAATGTTTCATGGGAATGAGTCCCAAGATGTGTCTTCCGTATTCTGCGCGATTCGAAACCAGTGAAGCTCGATCGAGTATGTCTGCTTTCTTTAATACCGCGTGTATCCATTGTACGTGCGTAGTGGCATGTCGGGGTCTGAAGCTGCCGTCAGCCCAAAAACACCAGATGGCCTGTTTCGGGAGTCTCTGTGTGGGCATGCGCGCAACGTGACCTAGCCAGCGTAGCGTATTGGCCATAAGTACGTGTTCAACAGTGGGCCATTGAGCGGCCTTGTGGAGAGACTCGGACGTGATGCGGTGGTCGCGTACGAGCAGTTTGTCCAGTCCGAAACAGCGTTGTATGGCGTATGTTTGTACTGCTTGCAGAGCCTTGATTTGTGCTTTGGTCCAAACGCGCGATCGTCCGAAAGCTGTGAGAGTGGGCACTACAACACTGTGCATTATGCGAAGTCGTGTGGCGATTTTGACTCGACTGGTGCGTCCTCGGCCGTGACTGGTACCCGTTGACCATGCTTTTGCGATGTCCTTGGCTCGGCGTTTGGCTATAAGACAGCGGTGCAGGGTGTCTGCCCATTGTGTACCCGCCTCGTGGGTCATGCCTCCTACATGTCGAACCTTGTTTGGGGGGTCGTGCCTTTTGGATTGGTTTCAGGTTTGACTCCTGGTTTGAGGTGAAGCGTCTCCGTTTTTCCTCGGTTCAGTTTTCGTTCCAGTCGTTGAAGGTCTCTTCTAGTACCTTGTCCGCGATGCGCGCTTCCTGACCGTGTGCGATGGTGGCTGTATCGTCTGCGATCTCGATATCGCCTATGCGTGTGTACTGAATTTGTTGCGTGGACTGTCTCTCTGTGGTGCCGCGTGAGAGACGATCATCGATTTTGAACTTCCATTTGATTCCCGGTTCCAGACCTGCTTGTTCCGCCTTGCGTTTGCGTCGCTGCCGGAAGTCTTGTAGCACTGTCTGGTGATATAGATTAAACAAAGGTGGCGATGATGGACAACGTTCTTTGAGGCCACGATCGGCGGTGTAGGGACGAGACACTGCGCCGGATGTGCGAACCTGAAAGTTATTGTGGTCGTGAAGGGCGCGACAGATGCGAATGAAGCCTTGGGGGGGTCCTCTGCGTGACATTAGTGTCCATAATGCCTCTCTGTTCACCCTCGGAAAGCTTTTTCATGTCGTACAGTGTGACCGTCACTGGTTCGCCCGCTTGAGCGAAACAGATGTCCTCCGTGATTCGACGGCTGACTTGTAGAACGTCATCTACTCCTCGGTTGCGTCGGAATCCTTGCTGTTCTTCGTCCATGAAAGTTTCCGAAAAGGCTTGCAGGCGATTGGCGACTATGCGTGCTAGGATCTTAACTCCCACGCTCAGTAGTGTTACCCCTCTCCAGTTACCCTTGTTGCTTTTTCGTTGTTTCTTCTTCCATAGTGGTATGACGATGGCTATAAAATATTCAGATGGCCAAAGACCGGCCTCGGCATGTGTGCACTTGTGCGTTATTGCAGGAAAACCCGTCACTCCGGTGCCTCTTTAACTGTTCAAGTCTTTCTTGCTAGCAGGGTTTCTCATGGGGCCTTGGCGTGCTGCGGCCCGTGGTGTGGCAGTTGAAGTTCTGCGTTATCTGGTTTCCGGGCTTGGCGAAAAAGAACGGTGTCCCGTCGGAGCCGACTGGAGATCGGAGGAGCAAGCTGCCTACTGGCGCGAAGAGGCCGTTTACTGTCGTGATCGTTTGCGGGAAGCACATAGCTGTTCTGTGGAGCTTGATTTTCTACGGGATCTGAAGGAGAGTTGCTGGGACACCCCGACAGTGGGCTTGTTAGTGCTCATTGGGGCTGTGAGCGGTGTTCTGGGCACTCTTGCTGTCACTTGGTGGCAGAGTCGACCCCGAGCTGGGGTAGTTGTTGCCGAGATTGATCCTGGAAAACTAGAGGTTGTGCAGGAGGCCATCAAGTTGCCTCACGACGGAGGGGATGAATTGGCTGCCGCTCGACAACGTGCTCGTGCGCTTCGTGGATGATCCTGCGCTATATCATCAGCGCATTGTGCTTCGGTGCAGCGGAAAGGACAAGGTGCACATTGTGACACCCGACCGGGAGGTTCAGGAGACTGAGCTCAAGGTGGGATCTGTGTATTCGGATATTCGTCGGATGCACAACGGTCGGCTGCCGACGGGGATCTCCGAGAACGAGACCTACTTGAATAAGCACTCTGGAGACGGAGCAATCTCGAGAGACGAGCTCCTGAAGTTGATCCGGGATGTTGAGTCGGTTTCTTCCGAGGGACCAAGGAGGCGGGTCACAGGCAAGCTCGGAGACGACGGGCGACGGCACCCTCCGGCCGGAGATGCGGCCAAGCCAAAGCAAACGTCTGGCATGGAGGATGGCGTGGTCTGGGTTGTGGTCTACTCCTCCACTGGGCAGGACATGGGCACTCAGGTGTCACCTCCCGATGGGGCGGAATCCTTGGTCGTCGGTGGGCTGCCCTTCAAGATGTTTACAAGAGGCGGCTCGGTGCTGCTCGTGCGGGGGGTCCTCCCGGAGGCGATCGCTTCGGTAACGGATCTTCTGCAAGCAGGCCTTGGTGATCAGCGAGTAGAGGCCAAGGACGTCCGGGTCTTGCCCGTTCTTTTCGACACGTCCGAAGAGCGGTGGAGGACCATAGCAGAGGCTGTGGTTGATCATGAGGAAGTTGATTTTGAGGACTTCCCTCTTCAAGGTCCTCGGACGGTTTGTCGTGACGCTCGGCAATTGAGGCGGCTGGGGCTGGACTTCGTGCAGCACCACGAGGCTTGGTGCCGAAAGTCCGGAGTGCGGCAAGGTGACCGATCAGTTCATGAACACGCCTCGCTATGTCGGTCCCTCAACCTTATGGTGTGCTACGATCAGTTAAACGTGGGTGCTTTGGCAAGTGCTGAATCGCTGAATCGGCGCAGGGCTTTGATTGAGATGGCTCACAATGGCAGGCCAGAGGCGCCAAACTACGATGCAGCCGACGATGTGCTTGGCATCCGCGAGATGGCCGATGGGAGCCTGGTGGATCCAGCCCTTACGCAGCACGCGGCCAGGCGACAGGCCGCAAAGGCCGAGATCCTCAAGCAGACCCGACTTGCTGCCGAAGAAAGACGTCAGCTTTTTCGCCGAGGAGGTGACGACGACAAGGGCGATGAGAAGGGCGGCGGCGGCAAGGGGCGAAAAGGCAAGGAGGACAAGAGCGCCCCCTGAACAGGGGGACGGGGACAGGGTGACTGGTGCCGACCCTGGCTCCGTTAATCTTTTGGGTGCCAGAAAAGTTTTCCGTGAGCCCGTCCATTTCCACGGGGATGTGTTCCCGCTTCCCTGTCCGGTGGATGATGGCTTTCCTCACAACGTTTCTTCTTTGTGCTCCCGTCGCTCCAGACAAAGGGTGCAGCGCCGTCGGTGTCTACATCAGCGGGAGTACGGGACCATATGGGCCTTGAATCACTTGGCCGGTTTTGATGATGAGTCGCTTTGGCCGGCTACTTTGACCAATCGGGCGCAGGCGGCTGTGCTGGCGAGGGTGAAGAAGATGCACTTGCAGAGACCACCGCCCCCCGAAAAACTTTCACCGCAGGCAGCGCTTCGGCAGCTGCTGCAGCGCAAGGCAGGGTCCGCTTATGGTGACGGCATGCCGGGGCAATTAGCCAGCTATGTGCGAGATAGACTATCACTTCCAAGGGGTCAGGGCAAGCCGGTTCGTTTGGAGGATTTGCTGCCCGAGGCCGAGAGGGAGATGATTATGGACTTTAGGGGACGCATGATGCTCAGTGACGAGGAGCACGGGGGCGTTCTAGAGAGAGGCTTAGCGAACGACATGTACACTGACCCTCTGCTTGAGGGCGGCGGCAGAAAGTACCACGGGTTTGTGGCCGACTTGGTGCAGAGCCAGCTCGTGGGCTTCACGGCCAAGCCGAAATCTCAGGTGGGGGTATTCGTGGTCACCAAAAAGAACCAGAAACAGCGGCTGATCCTGGATGCTCGCAGGACGAACAAGCTGTTTCGCACTCCGCCCACCACGAGGCTTGGCTCCATGGATAGCTGGGCCCGAGTGGGGATTGGCGAAGGTGACCAAATGTTCGTTTCGCAGGAGGACGTGAAGGACTTCTTTTACCGCTTGGGTATCGGCCAGGACCTGGGGGAGTATTTCAGTTTGCCCCCGATTGATGCAAAGATGCTTCAGGACGAGCTGGGTTATTTGCCAGCCGAGGCAGCCAAACTTCAGGATGCCGGGTGCACTGAGATTTTTCCGTACATGTGTGTACTCCCCATGGGCTTCTCATGGGCTTTCCACCTGGCGCACGAGGCCCGTGCGGAGTTGAGTCGAAGGACTTTGCCGCGGGTGGCCCAGGTCCGGGATCGCGAGCCTGCTCCTTTGCTTGGCCGTGCTGTTACGGGTGGAATCCATGAGGCCAGCCTTATCTATGCCGACAACCACAACCACCTCGGGATCAACAAAGAGGAGGTGGACCGTGCGCAGACTGACATGATTGCGGCATTGCACTCAAAGGGGCTGGACACGCATGACCTGGTTGAGAGCACCACGCTTTGTGAGTCTTTGGGTGTCCGCATAGATGGGTTGCTGGGGACTGTGCAGGTTTCGGCAGCTCGCGATCATCGGCTGGATCAGGCTTTGCTGGCGTGCTCATCGAGGCCAGCTCTCAGTGGGGAAGAGCTCCAGGTCATTGTTGGACACATGACCATGCGGGCCTTACTCAACCGGGGCCTGCTCAGCATCCTTAGGCACATCTACGTTTTCATCCAGGAGAACTACCTCGTGCGCAGGAGGCTGTGGCCTTCCGTTGTCCGGGAGATTGAAGTGTTCCGGGGAGCGATGGTGTTAGGAGTTGCAGACCTTCGTGCCAGCTGGGATCCCAAAGTGTATTGCACAGACGCCTGCCCATCCGGCTATGCAGTGCTAGAGCGTCACCTTGGCAGCAGCAGTGCGCGGGAGGTGGGGAAGGAAGACGAGCGCTGGCGCTACTATCGGTGCGAGTCTCAACCTCCCCCGCGTGCAGCCGCGCTCGGGGATGTGCTCGAGGATGTGCGGACTGTCTTGCCGGATGTCGAAGGCGAGTGCGAGAGAGCTTGGACCCTAAACGATCAGTTTCCCGAAGTTCCTCGTTGGGTTCTGGACGCAGGAATGTGGCAGCTACTTTGGCGAGCTGGTTTTGATCACAAGGACGGGATCCACATGCTTGAAGCGAGAAGCATTCTTGGAGCAGTGAAGCATGTGTGTCGGGATTCACGGCGACACGGTGCACATGTGCTTGTACTGAACGATAACATGGGCACAGTGCTCGCTGCTCAGAAGGGTCGTTGTGCTCATTTCGGCTTGTTGAGAGTTTTGCGGCGGGTGGCCGCGCACACTCTGGGTTGTGGCATCCGATGCCATGTACGCTGGGTGCCCTCAGAGCTGAATGTCGCGGACCACGACAGCCGGTGGAGAGAGAGGCGCAAGGGCGGCTCTGAGCACCCCGGTGCCCAAGAGGGCGTCAGCCAGGAAGAGAAAGGTAGATGTCTTCACGAAGCAAGAGGTCAGCTTGGCGAATCGGCGTTGCAAGAGCCCTCCTCTACAGGAGAGCCTGGAGAGGCAGCGGCACGTGAGGAGCCCATTGAAGGCGAGGGTCGCGGACCATGGAACTTCCACCGACCTCCGGATGATGCTGAAGGGGCAGGCCCGAAAGATGGAAAGGGCACGGAAGCGCCAGAAAAAGTACGGGCAGAGGATCCGGGGTTTCTTTGGGGAGAGGTCCCTTTTGGAATCTCACAGCGTGACCGAGGGGACACGGAAGGACTACGCCACCAAGATGGACGGCTTCCTGGAGTTCGTGAGGTTTTACATGCTGCCGATAAAGGGCGAAGCCGAGCTCGACGAGGCCTTGTGCGAGTACGCGGACCACCTGTTCCTGAGTGGAGAGACTTGCAATTTCGGTCAGAAGTTGCAGGCAGCTCTCGAGTACACCCGCCCAGAGGCGGCCCGAGACGGGTCGCTTCGCTTGCCCCGGTTCAAGAGGGCGCTCAAGGGATGGAGGAAGCTGTCCCCGGCGCAAGCCCGGTTACCCATGATAGAATTTTTGAAAGGGGCGGTCAGCGGAGTTTTCCTGCACTTGGGACGCAGGGACATGGCGGTCTTCAACGAGTTGACCTTTTCGACTTACGTTCGGCCAGGAGAAGGTCTACGCATGAAGGCTCTGGATTTCGTGGAGAAGCAGCCGGGGCAGGCCGAGTACAAGTTTTCGGTCATCGTGTTGGCCCCAATCGAAAGGGGCGAAGCGAGCAAGGCGGGCATCTACGACGAGGTCCTGGTGCTGGACGACACGCGGGCTCCCTGGCTGGAGGATGTGATGCGGCACCACGTGCGGCAAAGGCTTCAGTTGGGCGAGGAGGCGGACATGTGGGATTTCAATGCCGGCCAATACCTCGCGATGTGGAGGAAGGCCGTGGCGGCTTTGGACATCGCAGACTGTGCGCAGAGCCCCTACCAGAACAGGCACGGGGGAGCGAGCCGGGACCACCTGCTGCGACTTCGCAGCGTTCACGCCATACAGAGGCGAGGACGCTGGGCTGTGGACTCAAGTGCGAGGATCTACGACAAGCCGGGGAGATTGCAGCAGATGGTGAACAAACACAGCAAGAAGTGGTGGGATCTTGGGGAAAAGGTCCGATTGAACTTTCGGGATTTCTACCTCAATGGTACCTGCCAGTTGCCTCGAACCCTTCGGCTTGCTCTGGACGGCTGTGCGGCAAAAAGTTCCTGAGCCTCTTCGGTGGAGCTGGGGAGTGCGCAAAGGCTTTTGCAAAAGAAGGTGGATGGGCGGCAATAATCGATGTTCGGGGTGATGTTTGCAATGATCTGTCTAAGTTCGGTGCTTGGAACAGGATTCGAAAAGTCGCTCATCTCTTCGACTTGATTGGCATAGATTTACCATGTAACACCTGGACCCGGGCGCGCCGAGCACCGCCTTGGTCAAGTTTGCCGGGGCCGCTGAGGGGCGACCACTATCACAACGTGCTGAGGCTTCCCAACTTGAGAGCGAGCGACCGGGAAAAAGTGGATGCGGCAAACCGTATGATGATCGGCGCCTGCAACCTCATTAAGGTTTGCCTGCAGCTGAACATCCCGGGTTACATGGAAAATCCTTTGTCGTCTAGGCTGTGGCTGTCACGACCTGTGCAGGAGCTGCTCATGCGAGATGACGTGCATTTCGTCAAGACTCACATGTGCATGCATGGCACCCAGTGGAAGAAACCCACTGGGCTACTCGTGTGGTGTTGCATGCCCTTTGACATGCCTCGCTGCACAGGCCGAGGTAAGTGCAGCCGAACGGGAAAGGCCCACATCCAGCTGACCGGCATCAAAGGTTCAAGATTCGCGACTGAGCGAGCACAAATCTTTCCAAGAGCTTTTGCATCATCACTTGTTGGAGCTTTGTGCTGACTTTGCAATCCCTCCCACTCCACCCAGGGCCATTCTGCGCATGGGGTTGGGACGTTTGACCAAAGGTCATTGTTCTGGGCCCACGGGGCCTTTGGCTGTAAACAGCTGGGGAGGCTTTTAGCTTTGGCGCAGAGCGCTCCTACAACAGAAGGACATGCGACGACTGCATGCACAAAGTCGCAAGTGATGCCACTGGTGAGGGTTTGTATGCATGTGTGCACTTGTGCGTTATTGCAGGAAAACCCGTCACTCCGGTGCCTCTTTAACTGTTCAAGTCTTTCTTGCTACCCTCCCGCTCCACCCTGGGACGTTTGACCAAAGGTCATTGTTCTGGGCCCACGGGGCCTTTGGCTGTAAACAGCTGGGGAGGCTTTTAGCTTTGGCGCAGAGCGCTCCTACAACACAAGGACATGCGACGACTGCATGCACAAAGTCGCAAGTGATGCCACTGGTGAGGGTTTGTATGCATATTCGTCCGCCTCCAGGGTGTGTTGCCAGATTTCGTGTACCAGCGAAGTGACTTGTGGGCGTAGCGATTCGGGGGCCCATTTAAGCATTTCGACTGTGATTCCATCTTCTCCAGGTGCCTTTCCTGCTTTCATTTTGGCAATGGCGTGTTTGATCTCCAATGGCGTTGGTGTGCTGATTAATGGGGCCGGGTCTACTGGCCCGGCTTGTGGGATGTTGTTCCATACGCGTTGGGCAACCGGGGAGGTACCGTTCTGTATGTCCTTGAAGTGCTGTCTCCATGATTCGGTCTCTACTGCCGGGTTCGCAGAGATGTGTCTTTCGCCGATCTGCTTGGTGGCTACGCCTCGCAGTTTGAGGCGATTGAGTACTTTGTAGAGTTCGTATAGATCGCCGCGTCTCTCGGCCTGTTCGGCCCGTAAACCTATGTCGTGCCAGTATTGGTTTTCCCATTGTTTTAGCCGCTTTACTTTCCTCCTCTTGTGTCCTTGGTAATCCCTTTTGGCAGGGGGGCGCCCAACTAATGTACAACGAGGGTGCCCGTACACCAGGCTGCTAATTTACATATTGACGGTAATGTACGATGACCCCCCTTTGTCGTACATTATTCCGGAGGCTATGTTGTGTTTTGGTATGTGCATGCGAAAGTGGTCATTAGGTGGCGGCGACCTCCCCACATCCTGCCGCTTCTCCCGGCTGCACATCATCATCGCTTCGGCTCTCCGGTTCTCTCCCTTTTTCGCTCGCTCGCGCTCTCGTGCTTGCGCACTCTCTCTCTCTCTCTCTCTCTCTCTCTCCCTTTTGATTGTGTCTCTCTTTTTTCAGTCTCTCTCTCCTTCTGTTCTTTCTCTCTTTCGTGAATATCTTTTTTTTTCTGTCCCCTCTCTCCCCCCCTTTTCTATCTGACTGTCTCCCTTCTGTTTGTTCTTTCCCTCATCTTCTCTCGATGTCTCTCCTTTGACGTTTTTTTCTTTCTCTCTTTCTCTCTCTTGAGTATCTAAGCCCGAACCCAACTAAACCTGACCAGTTGGTCTTTGACGCCATGGCAACGAGATCATTTGTGCGCATCTTTTGCTCCTTCGGCGGTCCTGCCTTCTCACCCCTCTGTGCAGCAGCTGCTCTTCAGCTGCCGCTGTACATCCACACTCTGGACTGGCAGCCCCTGTTCCGCGATCTGCGCGATCGCATTCCAGAGACATATACATATACATATATATATATATATATACACACAGAGGAAGGATCAGCGGCTTCAAATTGTCCACGGAAGCGTTGCCGCCAGATCTGTGCGCAGCCAATCAGAATCGACGCCTGGAGCCACTTGCAGACAACAGTTGCCGCACGACGGCGCGGCACCCTAGAGTCTAGAGTCTAGGGTTTCTGGTTCCAGTGTTTCAGACCAAGAGGGGGGAGAGAGAAAGAGCAAGAGCAAGAGACAGCGCAGATAACACAAGACTGGAGAAAACACACAAAACGTGGTAGCCCATGCGATGCTGACGTGCACAAGGGAGAAGCGGCCGAGACGCTCGGTTTGAGAAGGTTTGCGAAACTTGACCCAAAAAAAGCTTGATTTGGCACCGAAAACCCGTGTTTATGTACAACCGGGGCCCCTGCCGGAAGTACATTGCCAAACCCCTCCATCGTACATTTCCCGGCTGCCCGAAATGTACGATCACAGGTAGGGCCCCAAAACTCTAGTTAGGCCCACCCGGCTTTTGGCGTTGTGTAAGGCTTGTTGTTGTGGTGGGGTCGCCTCCGGTCGTGAGCAGACGTCCGCTAGCTGTTCGTAGGTCCTTTTGAGTGCGCATATGTCAGTGTTCATCTGTTTGATTTCCGTCTCTCGACCTATGAACCAGGGTCTAGGTGGTGAGCGTTCCACGTACCCAAAAACTTCCGCTGCTACCGTTTTTGTGAGTTGGCACAGAGTGGGCCAGTCCATTTGTCCGTGATGCTCCTGCGTGCGTGCGTCAAGGGCTTGCTTATATTGCTGTCTGACGCCTCATTCGAGCATCCGCGACCGCGATGTACGGCGATGCGACGTGTCGGCTTGTGTGAGGGTTTGTAGAACGCGGGTGGTGCTAGGCGGGCTGTCATTTCCATCGGTTTGAAATCCGTGTATTCCTCCCATCCCCTGGTTTGTGAGTCTCGCACCGATTCTGAATGTATGGTCAGTACGCGGTGGATATTGCGTATGTACTTCTGTTCCACGAGAAAATGGTGGAGTTGATGTGCGGTCTTGAAGCGAGGGTGTTTCCACGTGTTCTTGTCGTTGGGGTCCACGAGTGTGCGAAAACCCAGTGTTCATGGTCGCAGGCGTCTATGAGTGTTTGTCCCCTTTGATTACGTTTGCCGGCTCCATGTGGTCCGATGGTTCTCCCGGACTGGCTGTTTGCCTTACCCACCTCGGCATTGAAATCCCCGCCTACGAGTAGTTGGAAATGGGATTTGCGATGATTGGCAACGGTACTGATGTCCTCGATGTGTTCCTGTATCTCAGCGTGTGTCGCCTTGGAGCTGTGTGAGTACACGCTCATTAGTGCTACCCCTAAACGCTTGAAACACGGTATCTGTACCATCATGACTCTGCAGTGTGCTCCCTTCCCGTTGGTACCTGGATGTTGCTTCGTTGCCATGCTGCCTTCCGTTTCTCGTTTAGTGCAACTGATACTTTACCCCTGCTGATGATGGTCCAAGTGGTTTGGTGCCCTTCGATGTCGAACTCCGCGTGTCTTCCCCATTCCGTGTCCGACAAAAGTACTATGGACCAGCCTCGGTGTTCCCAAAGCTTGCTCATCTGTTTGAATTTGAGGTGCGGATCATGTTTGTCCTGTGTGGCCCCCAATTGTCGTGTGTTCCATGTTCCAATGCGAACCAGTCGTCTTCGCTTCATTCTTGTGACCGACAATGTTGCAAACTTTCCCCATGCTATGCATTTCCCTTTCCCTTCACGTCGTAATTTCTCCCTACTACTTGCCTCTTCCAGTATGGATGGCATGTTCCCCCTGCGTGATCCGAGGACGTGTGATCGCGGACGACACGTATAAGTTTGCGTGTGTGTGTGTGTGTGTGGATGGGAGAGGTGGGTGAAGGAGTGGTGGTGGTAGAGTGAGCGCGATTGGCGTCGCGGTATCTTTGGCGTAGGCTCGGGTGTGTCCTAGTGCATGAAGCTCCGCGTGAGCAATCGTATGACAATCACAATTTGTGCTAACATGAGCCAAAAAGTCATCGTAGTGGCGGCATCGTCGTTGCTGGGAGAAACGAGTGTAGACACGAGGTGTATGTTACACTAGACCAACGATGATCGTGTGCCCTCTTCTGGTGATACTGAAGGATCCCCGTGCGTGACATGTGTCGACTACAAGCGATTCGAAGGGTAGGATGAGTGTTTGTAGGAGGCTGTGTCATGAGAACATGTGCGTAATACCCACGTTGTAGTTCGGAGTGTCGGAGCCCACCCGCGACTCCCGGACAAAGAGACACATCCGAGGAGAGACAGTGTTGATCCGAGTCCCCAAGGAAAAACGGTGTCTCAACGCCCCCGATGTTTGAGTCTCTCTGCCCGTGTTTGCATCTCGCCCTCCCCGGGGGGAGCGCCCTGTGGTGACAGGGAATGGCGTTAGCCCCACCGAGGAAATCAACTGTATATCAATCAAGAATCCACCATGCATCTCTTCCCCGTCGTATGAATGTGGCGCATGTTCCTGTCTCTTGGAAGTTGCGGCCGAGAAACTGAGACGGACAGAAGAGATCGTTTACAAAACTGGCCTGCGTGTCAAACTGTCGAACATGCGCTCTATCGGCATGACCCGGAGTAGGGTCTGAAGGTGGGTTACCGGGGGGGCACCACGTGGAGGTCTGATGCATGCCGAGAGCGACTGGTCTAATCCGCTCTCCCACTGAGCATTCAAGGAGGGTGAACTTGAATGTGCGAGCCTTGGAACCTGATCGTCAAAGAAATGATATTCTTATGCACTCGCCTCAGTGGCCCCTTTACACGCAGCTACATTCAAGGCGAATGACTTTTCCACATCAGTGGAGAGAGTTCGTTGCTTCTTCTTGCAGATGCAAGGATCCAACGGCCTCTGAATGTAACCATTCGGCTGCATGGGCTTCGGATTCTTCGGGCAATGTATACAGTATAGGATCAGAAATGATTCATCGACACTGTTCAGCCTGTCTGTAACTGCTGTAACTGAAGAAGTTGGGTTAAGCTTTCCTGGCAGCATTTCTCAGAGCCCACGAGCGACAAGTGTCTGGACACGGACAGGCATTATTTTTGGAAGCAAAGGGCAGGTGTTTTCCGATAAGCTGAATGTAAGACCGTGAGCATCGATAAGGACGCGCGCAAAATTGGTTCAAGTGCTGTGGGGATGGGCATGGCGACATGTTGGGGTTTAGCTTGACAGCAGCAGAAGTCGCAGCACCCGCAGAACCATCGTGGCAGCAGCATCGGCCGCTTTGGAAGCCGTCCGTGCATACCGCAGCGCTTGCCTAACAGCTTGTCACAAAACCCCAAAATTTCAGGTCTCAGCTTCACTCACGTGCCTTGCAACATCGTTGTTTGACGACGTGTATGTGCCATGGCGACTCCCACAATGGAGGGCTTCGGCGTGCTTGGGGGCCTTCCTATGAGTGGTCGGATCCTCACGTCGCACTCGGGTTCCAGTTCCAATTGGTGCTGTATTTTGTTGAGCAGGTGCAGGATCGGGAACCATCCCGAGTCTTCCTGTGACACCTGGGGGCTTCCCGGCCGTGTTCTGAGCTTCCGCTACGTCTCAATTTCATGTTGCAGCATCACCATCCTGCACGTGTTGCACCAGGCCTTGTTGGATGCAGCAAGGCAACAAACTGAATTGGTGTTTTGGATCGTGAGGACGGCTTCTAAGTCTACTGACGTCGAGAGAAGATGTTCCATGCTCGTCAGTTGAACAGGACTGTGCAAGAGCATGAAGGCAGAATCTCTTCACTGCACCTCGTTCGCAGTTGCAAGTTGCAACAGCTCATGTTTGCTAACGCTCAAGGGTCCCCTGTACGTTTACAGGGACGAGCTGTGTCGGCTCGAACGACCGAGGTCACGTCAACTTGCCGACCAGCTGAAATTGCTGTCGGAGGCAGGCCGATGGCCACCAGCGAGAAAAGCTTTGTTGACAGCAGCATGCAGGATCGGAAGATTTTCAAGTCTTCAGCCACGCGAAAGTGGCCTGTTCCTCAAAGGTGCAGTGAAGCAATCCCTTGCATCGCCAAGTCTCGCTGCGATCAAGTGTTCTGAGGCCCTCTGGTGGGGTGGGATCTCGTGGGCTCAGCCGCGAAAGCTTCGTATCGCCTGGGGCTGAAGTATCAATGCAAGCATGTGCTTGCATGGAGTTCTTTGTTGAGAAGCTGAGTGAGCCCAGTAAGCACCCTCGCTCAAGGAACGATGGTGGTGGAGCTCTGTCGCAGGTGGGCTGTGCATTTGATGTCCGAATGGCTTGAGACACAGCTGACAGGCAAGCCTGGCCGGCAGTCCACTGCACCACGAGGAGCGCGACAAGACCCAGATCGAAGAGAACTTGGATCTTCCGTTGGAAAGCTTGGGCCTGGACGGAGAGCCGGCCGAGCCGCCTGCGGCCGGCTCCACAGAGCCCGCGGAGCTCGCGGAGGCTGCCGAACCTGCGGAGCCGGCAGAGTCCGCGGAGCCCGGTGATGCAGCCACCGCTGAAGCCGAAACAAACGAACAGGGACGTGCATCGCAGAGCCCCGATGACCGTGTCACCGGCAGCGTTGCTTCCGCAGAAGCTCCCTGGCTTCCACGTGGTCCATGTGAGAGCTGTGTGCTTGATACCCATGTATCCTCGACAGATTGAAAGGCAGTCTATATATCTCATTAACTTGAATTACCGAGGGTCGGCGGATGTCGTTTGCATCAGGCCTTCGTGCACGCTGCGTGGGAAGTTTTGCATCAGATGATCGTGTGCTTGTCAGTTGAATACCCATGGGAGGCGGACGTCGGCGGTCTTCACTCACCGGCCCGCTCCGGGTCGAAGAAGCAATGGCGGCCAACGTTGTCACGGAGGAGTCGGGGTTGCCTTCAGCCTAAATGAGCTCAGGATTGCAGATACATCACTCCCACAGTGCCAGAGGAACGCCTAGCAGATCGCCTGGAAGAGCGCATTCAGCAGGTCCTGGCGCAGGCTATCGGCACAGAACAGTCGAGAACCCACATGCTCCAAGATAGTGGCTGTCTGATGCTTTCTAGTGGAGCTCGTAAGCATGGACTGTTGCACTGCAGGACGTTGAAGCCCGTTTGGAGGAGCCGGCAAAGACTGAAGTTGGTCACACTCCTGAACTGTAGGTACGCCAGCCAAACGTGAAGAACATTAAGTACTACACAGCATCAAGACCAGAATACACCATTGCGAGATCCCGAACCATTCGGGGCTGGAGTGGCCCGTTTTCTTTAGAATATGTGCGTCCTGCAGGATGTGGCCCAGTTCGTGCAAGAAGAGCTTTACAGGTTCGTTCTTGGACCGGAGATGATGGAAAGGGTCAGGCGCCATGCAGCAGCGTTGACATGTTTCAGCTTCGCGGAAGCACCTGAAGCTTTTAGAGTAGCAGTTCACCAGAAAATCTGCAGGCACGAGTGCTCCTCCGTCATCTCGATGGAGCTTGCCATAGCATTGGCTGCCCAAGACAAGAAGGTGGAGGACGAGCGCTGTGTTCCTCATGATGTCACGCTGTCATGCGGTTTGTAATTGCATGAGTGTTGTCGGACATGTCGTCAGGAGTTGATCAGGTCAAGCCTCCTTGGCCCCCTCAGCCGTCTAGAGTCCTTGCCTGGCCCGCACAAGCCTTACGAAGAGCCTTCAGTGCGTGGTCCTGGTCCAGGGCCTACGTTTAGGAAGTCTACTCTGCTCTAAGGGAGGTGACAGACGACCTCGGTAGGCCAGGCCGTCAGGCCGTCAGGCCGTCGCCGGCTTGGCACGACTGTAAATGCCCTCGCTAGGCGGCTCAAGCTTACAGAGGACCTTGTCGGTGAGCTGAAGGCCGGGATACTACGAGAAGCATTCGTGGAGAAATAATATGTGTTCCTTTCTCTGCCAGGGACTTCGCCTGCAAGTTCCAGATATGCGTAGGATGCCGAGTAGCCTGTGCAGAGTTTCATCTTCCAGCACAGGTAACCAAAAGAAGTGTCATGAGTGTTGAAGGCAACGAGCTCACTAACCTCCAGTCCTCCCTGATGGCAACCGTCATGGCCTTCGTCTGTTGGGATTTTTGTAAGGCGACATTTCTTCCCTGTTGTGCTGTAGGTACATACTGTCGAGGATTTGGAGGCATGTGTTGCAAGCAAGATGGATGCTGGCATGCAGCAGCTGCAGTGGCTGCAGGTGAGGCAGCAAGAGTTGGCTGCTGCAGGAACTGAAAGCGAAACCGGTCCCTCGACTCTTGAGTTGTTACGAGTCAGTGTCGTCAGGAGCCCATCGCCTGTCCCCAGTTTCTCCGCACCGCTCATCTCCCTCGCGGACCGAAGCCGTCGAGTTGGAAGAGGAAGGCGGGGCTTCAAAAGGGAGTGATGCAGCATTGCGGCTTTTGCATGCTCGGCATTGGCCCTAGCAGCACGTGCTTTTCAAAGGTCTGGGTGTCGACAACCTGGGAGAGGACGCAAACTCAAGTTTGAGTCATGGTCTGAATCATTCGTCGTCTCCTGCCAGACCGCGCCTGATGAGACGAATGCCCCTTGTTTCGAAGCAGCGTCCGGCTGCAGCGCGCCTTGGCTGGTGGTATCCTGCTGAGGCTCCATCGCCTGTGCCGCAGTCGCGGCAGCCGTCACGACAACCATCCCGACAGCCATCGGTACCAAACTTGCAAGAGTGCGCAGGATTTGCATGTTTAGGCTATCGCTGCAGATGCCTGGCATCATCGAGGTCGTAGCAGTATCGCCGGATGACATGAAGTCAAGAGCCTAGCGAGAGAAGAAGGTATGGAGAATCGCAGCCACACACTGCATCTAGCTGAGGCCGAAGAGAAGGCACATCTTCCAGATGGCTTTCAGATGCCTCTGATGCAGATGAAGTGTCCTAAGAGTAAAACAGATCCATACGTCAGATTGGACTAATGGCGAGCGCTGTGACTGCCGAACAGTTGCTTCGGTATGGGCGCCTTGCTTTGGAGGTTGAGTGACATGCTTGGTCTCTACATGGCACCGGCTGCAAGACCTCAGGCACTCGGTTCGGTTCGCGCCTGTGCACCGTGCACGAGTGCTGGTTGTCACCACAGGCTGTAGATGACTCGCAAGTGCAGGACTGGGCCGCATGGAACTTGAAGCTGTCTATCACGTCTCAAGCCTTGACGAGGAACTGGTAGCACGTACAGAAAGTATGCGAACAAGACTGGAACAGATGGAGCAGCTCAGACCTCAGATTCCGAATGCCCTACTGGACGAAAGAGTGCTAGGCCGCAGCTGCCCACGGTAAGGATTGTTGGCACTGAGCAGGCTGCAGTGACCAGTCGAAGACACAGCCTTCAGGTGGGTCTATTCTGCATCTGCTTTCGACACAGTGCCGTCATGATCGAACTCATCTCATATCCCGTGGCAAGAACAAGCTGAACGACGTGGACACTCTTGCCGGCTGCTTACGCTCCCTCGGGGCGGACTGGTTCTGCAAAGCAGCAACTTCCGCGATCTTTTCGAAATCGCGAAGCGTACTCTCGTGCGGGACCGCTGTGTGGCGTGGATACTTGCTGGCAATGCCAGTAGCCGTGATGCCGAGGCGGCCATCCTTGAAGATCGCATGCGCGAGTTAGATACGGAGTTTCGAACGAGCAAGCAGCACGTCCAATCGCAGCGTCAAGCTTAGAGGGTAGCAATGCACTGCAGTTCGCAGCACGAGAACAAGTTCATGACCTGAGGCTGGATGTTCTCATGACAGCTCACGAAGCTCAGCATGCTGAGGAGAGCTTCTTCGGTTGCTTACCTCCGAACTGCCTGTGAGTGTCCTTGTGGTCTAGGACCTCAAGCACAACAAAACCTGGAACTTGGCCAACCAGGTGCCCTTGCCCACAGAGAGTCAGCGACTGGCCACTTTCTTTTTTAGGTTGTAGTGTGGGTCGTTAGTTCGGTGAGGGGTAGGCATCGCTGTCGACAGGACACTACTTCGGAAGCGTTAAATATGCATGTCGTACTTTGGCCTGCAGCCGCTAAGTGCTTTTGCACCGAAATATCGTTGGAGATGCAAGTGTCTGGCCAACCAAGCAGCACATCTAAAGCGTACGTAACCTGTAAACTGAACATAAATAAACTCCGAGACATACCTTTACACTTGTAGCATTCGAGCATCTTCCTACACGCCACGAATGGCGGCTCTGCTTTCTGCAGGTGGGGCTCCTCACAGGTGTTCTGATTGTTCACCTCCAGAAGTTCTTGTGCTCAAGGGATCCGACGGCCGCTGTGTAAGCTACGACGGCCCATTCAGGAGAGGCTGTTGACGCATTTGCCTTATGTTAAAAAGTACCGGAGACTGCTTTTTTGTAAGGCCAGTCAACGGTGCGTCTTTGCCGCGATCGCAGAGACTGAATGTTGCAGACAGACCATCCACTCCCACGTTACGCCAAGGGCGAGTCTTTTGGAGGGAGTTCCTCCAGCACGTCTTGGCCATCGGTTGCGCTTGCGCGGGTCCCAGATGAAGTTGCATGAAGCACGGACCGAGCATGACAGTGCCAGGCAGGCGGTGCTGCTACTGCAGCAGTTGTAGCGGTGAGCTGGTGGGCCTGGCGCCCCAAAATCAGCTTCTGGAACTGTTTGCTTGAACAATCTTTGCAAACATTCAACCGTTTAAGAAGTGTAAGCAGTGTCGTCAGGCATGGGGCAAGCCCGGACAAACCGTCGAAATCGACATCAAGCCCATCACTGATGAGGTCGGGCTGGTTAGCACTGCATGGTAGCTCGCGAGTCAAAAACGGAGTCGAAAAGCCGGTTTCGGTCTGGTGGGGTGCACTGTCCCAGCAGTCCTTGGGGCGCCAAGCAGATCCATTGCTGCCTGCTTTTGTTGGGTTGGGCTCGACAGCTACAAGTGCATGTGTGGAAACTGCCGGAGGCCCTGCCAAGGGTGATTTTCAAGAAGCCATCAATCCTGTGTCCGTCAAGGCGTTTTCGCGTCAGGCTCTCCCAGATGTCGCTTGTTTTCGGGCTGCTGTTTCTTTGTGTGGGTAGGACGTGCCAACCGTCCGTCTCTGCAGGATTTAGTTTTAGGGTTTCCGAGATTTGCAAGCTGTCACCCTTTCTGGGGTGCCCGACTTGAGTTGTTCACTTTGTTTTAGACATTTCCCTTTTGTTCCTGGCACAGTAGATGCCACCCCTCCTTTGCACAGTTTGGGGTTTCACCCTTTAGGGTTTTGAGGAGCTGTTTGCGTCAAGCCAGCTGTCGGCAATGTAGCCTTTCTATGTTTCGGGTTTAGTTATTTGTCGACTTGGTGGGCAGCCATCGCCTCCTGCTAGGTGTGCAGGACTTGAAACTTGAGGTGGGTCGTTTGCACCGGTAAGGCTTGGGTACCATCTCTCTTTTTTCGAGCATGTGTGGCTTCTGGACTTGCAGCTGTAGCCTTTTCCTTTTGCACTGCTTTGAGGTTGAAGGCCTTTCATTTTGTCAGATGGGGCTTGGCTCCTCTCTTGTGATAAGGAGGCATGGCTCCTTCCCATGGCAGAGGGCGGGTGACCGTGTAGTTTTGGCGAAATGCATGGTGACTTTTTGGGTTCGTGGCTTGCAGCTTAGCAGCTGGCCTGAGCATCTTGGATGTTTTTCTTCCTCATACACCACCAGCAGTTTCTGCCTGCATTTGTCAATGTCCCTTCCCCACATACCATCACCAACAAGCCATCGGTACGAGCAAGCATGTTTCGGGTCTGAGTGTCAGGGTGTAGGTGGAAACCTCGTCTCATCGGTTACGAGGTTTTTGACGAGAACGACAACCTCTTCGTGTTCTATCTGGACAAGGCTGGCGAATCTTCTTGTCACTGGTTAATGCTCATGGCTCGGAAGGAATGTGTTTGCATTGCAAGGCCGAAGATCTTGCAGAGCGCCGTGACATCCCGAGCAGTCTCTCCTGCAAAAAGTGCTTCTTGGTATCTGCATGAGGCGGAGATATCCAGCGGGTCGTTCGAGCACTAGTTGATGAAGCCGCGTTGAAGAAGCTCAAGTGCGCTTTGCCTCCCCTTGCTAGGAGGCTAGTGTTCGTCTGGTTGCAGTAGAGCTAGGGCGCTTGTTGCTCGAGTCTGCTGTGTCAGATTGCAATCCACGGCAAGAACTGAAATCGAATGAAAGGGATCTTGTGAACTATTTGCTGGCATGCTAAGCCGTCCCGTTGACCTTGTCAAGAACGCAGCACCTTGTCCGAACCTGACTGCAGTTCGAGCCCTACCCCACACCTCACAGCAATCCCCTGGCCAGTTTCTGAGTCGTTGACGAAACGTTGACAACTTTGGAGTTGATCTCCGTGGCAAGGCAATGGCGAAAAGCTACGGAAGACTGTTGCAATGCTGTATGGCCTCTATAGCTTTGCCAGCACGTTGCTTTGTCAACGGAGAAGAATCCGCAAGAGCCGCAATGAAGTCCACAAAGAGTCCTTGACGAAAGGCAAGCTGGACCTCGACTTTCTTATCCGCTTTCAACCAACCTTGCAGGAGCCTTTCCTTTTAAATCTCGTGCATCCTAGCGATGCAGGGATGATGCCGGCAAATCAAAGGCTCCGGCGATGTACACCAGCAAATTGTCCTGTAAACATCCCTAGCTTCTGACAGATCACTGTCCCGGGCTGCTCGCTTGCGGCTGGTGTTGCCTTGGCCTTTGAAAGGTCAGCACAATGGACTTCAAGAGGAATTCTGAAAAGGGCCTTCCGGCTAAGGCCTTGCAGACAACAGCAGCAAATCAGAAGCAACTGCGGAGTTAGCGCGACGGGCACGTTGCATGCACGACGTGCAGATGCAGAAAATAATTTGGCAAACACAACTCCCTACCCAAGCCAGCCTATTTGTGGTCTGGAAACCCAGGAGCATTCATCGGACACAGTCTGAACGACCGTTCACATCAACCAATCGCCTCAGCCAGAGGAAAGCACATGTGAAACGAAGCCTATCGAAACATCTGCAGGTACTACCAGAATGTTCGGAAAGAAGGCTCACGACGGCACGAAGCGCAGCTGATCAAAGAGTCGTTTTCCACGGCTTGGCTAGGCGATCCGCCCCTTCCGAAAGCGGGCTGCGAGCTCAACTTCTCTTTTTGCGAGCTTGAGCGAGAGAGAGAGAGAGAGAGAGAGAGAGAGAGAGAGAGGGCGACACACATGATCAAGCTATGGGGCATCATTTGGTACGTCTAGTTCGGGGCATAGTACAAGATGTCGCCGAGGAGTGCTCGTTGTTCCCGCATGTAACACACATGCACACAACCAACAAACGGGCGGCTCCCGCGGGGGCTCGCCCTCAGGCCCGGAGAAAGAAAGAGAGAGAGAGAGCAACCGACCCCGATCCTCAAGCTGAAGCCCCAACAGCAGACAACCGACCCACAGAGGGTGCATCACCTGTAGTTCGAGTGTACACGTTGACCTAGTTGTTTTGTAAGGGGCGGTGGTGCTCAGTGAAGCCGTAGACACCCCGAAGCTGCACGAGTGAGACTGCCGTACAGAACAGTCTACCGCGGAACATCCCGGCACGGCAGCGGGGCGGGAGCAACATAGTAGCATGGTTTGTTCCAACACTTATGGCAAGATGTTTGCAGTGTCAGTTGAAAACTCAGCTCCGCCCACGGGGTAACGAAACCCAATCGCACGTAATACCGTCCGTACAACCAACAGCCGGGCAGCTCCCGCGGGGGCTTGCCCTCAGGCCTGGGGAAAGAAAGAGAGAGAGAAAGAGAGCGAGCCACTCTGCGACTTTTGTTACCAACCGCCACAGTAATTCAACGCTTTCGCCGAGTTTGCCCAAACTAGAAGAAATAATTCAACCGGCCTTTTCTTTCTAAAGTAAAGGGGGGCCCGCCGTCTTCGTTACCTGCACGTTTGCCTGTTCTTCGCTGTTGCTTTTTGCAGACGGGGCGGGAAACCCGGGGACGTAACTGAGTGAGAAGGGGGGCCAGCCTGCAGTCGTGTTTTACAAGCACTGTTGTACGGGCCTTAGCGTGTCGCTGTTGTTTCGCGTAGAGGCGGCCACCGTATGCTTGGACCAGTGGGGGGGGAAATTGCCTGGTGAGGGGCTAAGGACTTTGCCGTAGAGGGCGCGGGGACGAGGCCGGGATGCGGGCTAAAGTTAAGGGTTAGGGTGGGTCCCTACCAGGCAATCTCCACAAACCACTCCGACCACGGGGGAAAATCTCCCAAACGTATGACCCCAATGCCCTTTCTCCCACAGTCGTGGAAGAGAAGGGGGGGCCTTGGCCCGGGTCCAGCTTGCTGGACTTGTCCCCAGTGAAGTGAAGTGAAGTGAAGTGAAGAGAGCGAGAGTGGCCATTTTGGCTCAAGTGTCTGCACCTTTGTCTTGGAGGGCTGTGCACCCTCCTGGCATTGGGCGGGAGGCGCAGGGTTGACCTGAGGCTGTGACCTCGGGGGAGCCTTTGCGCCTTCTCCACCAGGCGCTTGAGTCCTGTGCCCGACGCCACTTCGCTTAAGAGGCCCCACCGCAAAGCGCATCCTCCCGAACCTGACCGCGGCCCCTCAGTGAGGGTGGCCCGCCAGTAGGGGGACGGAGCATACTTTTTCGACACGGTACACGGCCAGTATGTCAAGCTCAGCATCCCGACCCCTTCCGGGCAAAGATGCAGCCCCAACCAGGGGGAGAAGCAGGATGCGAAGAGAGCCGGAAGCCAAGCCGGCAAAAACCAAAACCACCTGGCAGGAACAATGTGCGCTTGCAGAACGACTGCGGGGGATGGGTGTTACCTGCAGAGCCTGCTTGGAAGGGCCCTTTTACCACAAAACCCATGACAGCGGGAGCACTTGCAACAGACAGCAAGTGGCGACCGGGGGGATTGCCAGCACGGCAGCACCCAGCGACATGCGGAAGCAGAAGGAGGAGGCCGACGAGCACGACCTGTACCAGCCCAGAGGTGGGGGATCCTGCGAAGTAGCGGGGAAAACAAGACCGTATGAGGAGTACGTGCGCTTCGAAAGTGAGCACGGGACGGCACTACTCTACGAGCCAGACCCACTCGACAGATGGATAGGGCGAAGTATCCAGAAAAACTGGCGAATGGGGAACTTCCAGGACCTCGAGACGGGGGATATCTTGACCGAGGGCGAGGCACAGGAATGGCAGTACGTCCAGAGACACAACGCCCGGAGGGAAACAGGTCGCCAAGCAGACAAGTTGGTCGCCATCGTCAAGAAGGGGAACCCCAAGGTGATGAAGGAGCTCCTCCTCTACATTGCCAAGCACCCGTGGAAAGTGGGGGGACTCCTTAGCCAAGCCAAGCAGGAGTTCAAGGAAAAGCCGGAGCCAGCCAAAGCGAAAGAAGGGGAAAAGAAAACCAAGAAGGAAAAGAAGCACACACAGAAAGCCAAGACCAAGAAAGCCAAAAAGGACAAGAAGGCCGAGAAGCTGCGTGGGGAAGAAGGACGCCGTGCGACAAAGGAGGGGACCAGAGCTAAGCCAGCCACCGGCGCGGAAGCAGTGGACAGTCGGGGGAAGGACCGTCCAACAGCAGCGACCGCCACCTACAAAGAGAACGAAGTGGACTGGGGGAGCAACGAAGACGGCAGCCACGAAGAAGACACAACACCCCAGCCGGGGGAAGTGCAGCCGCCGACTCCAAGACGAAGCCCGCAAAGAACACCGGCTAGCTCCAGTGCGGGGGGGGCGACCAGACCAAGGACACCGAGCCGGAGCCCGAGACGACGACAGGGGGAGACACCAAAGAGGACGAACCCAGCAAGAGCAGCAGGAGCAGGCCAAGGACACCGAGCCGCAGTCCGAAAAGAGCTCGGTTGGTGCCGGGACCCACATGGAGAGCCATACGACGTGTACAAGCACACATGCGAGGGGAGGACACCACGAACTACAAGCAGTGAGCGTGAGGGGGGAAATTTTCCGAGCCGACCTTACGGTCACTCCGTTTTCTACAGTGCTTGCGAAGTTAAGCGTAATTCGTGACGGGCCGCTGGAGCCATACCAACCTCCTGCCAATGGAGCCTCACGCTCCACCTCTGCACCGACTGCACAAAATTGGCACTGTGATAAAGTTATGCCGGCATTTTCGCTCAGTCTTTGAACAGAAACTTTGATAGGGATTTTCAGCCCGAGGGGAGCCAGCCTTCATCATGTGGTGTTACCTTTTCGTTGTTGTACAATGGCCGGCGAACCCTCGCAAACAGCAGCAGCCATTATGAAGTCTTTGTCCTAGACTCACAAGTTGTTCTTATGTCGTCGTGCTGTGTTCTGCGTGGCTTGGCACTCAGCTGTTGTACTACAAGAAGGAGGGCTGCTACCACTACGATAGCTGACGGGGGGGAATGCGTTCGGTGCAGGGTCTAAGGATATTGCCTTAGAGGGCGCGGCGATGAGGCCGGGACGCGGGCTAAAGTACAGGGTTGTTGAGGGGGTCAGCACCGGACGCATTCCACCTGTTACAACGACCGACGGGGGAAAATCTCCCACCATAGCACCCCAAAGCCTCCTTCCACCGCCAAAGCACGAAGGGGGGGGCCTAGGCCCGGGTCTGCTCGCAGACCTATCCCCGGAAGCCGAAGCCGAAGCCGAGAGGGCGGGCCAAGAGCCTGCGGGTCACGACGTGACCCCTAAGCCCGGCAGAAACAAAGAAAGAGAGCGAGCGAGAGAGACAAAGACCAGTGCTGCTGTGCTTCCTTGGCTGTGTGCAAGCAAGAGCGAGTGTGAGAGAGACCGAGCGGATCATCGGACAGGCGAAGAGGAAACCAAGGAAGCCGGTGCGGCACCACTCCGAATTGCCGAGAGCTCGGTGTAGGTGCATCTGCGGACGTGGTGGCAAACGATTTAATTGTGTTCGTGGAAAGGTCATGTACAAGGGACAGCGTAAGTCTGCGCCTCGTGCCAATTACAACCCGTGTCGGTGTGGGTGAAGCCGGCTGAGGTCGATATTGCACGTTGGTGATGAGATCCCAAAGCAGGAGGCTGCAGCCGAGCGCAGAGAGCCCAGAGGGCAGCGCAGGGTGATGTCCATCTGCACGAGCAGGTCTTGGACTTTTTCAAGCCAGTCTCCCAGGATCTCGGCAAGGTCAAGGCACCTTAGAACCTCTGTCTCAGTAGTTTCTGCACACAAAAGCCGCGTCAGGCGCCGAAATCGGTGCCTCTCGTCTCAAACGAGTCCTTCCGGAAGGAGCGTGACAAAGCAGCCTTTTTTCACAGCGCTTTTGTGACATGACAGTTCCAGGATGTTCTGGAAGATAGCCAACCAGGAAACCCAATGGTGTTGTTGCAGATGTACGAGGACTGCTGATGCTGCCTCAGTTTCGTACGTTCAACAAACTATGACCTTGTAGCCACAGGACACATGCTTCCTTTGTTTTTTGATGAGACCTTTCATTAACTCTGTGGCCGGAACCCCAGCAAGCAGGTGCCAGTCTTTGCTCGGACTGTTGCCTTCGAGTTTCAATCGAGCTTAGGGTGAGCTTCTGTTGGAGAACAAGGTGAGGGTCATTCAGCTGTTCAGCAGATCTGGTAGTACAGCGATGGCCGTGATTCTAACTTCATGTTGTCCGATGCGGCGGGAGGCACCTTTCCGCTTGAAGAGGCCCTTTGCCCAGAATAAAATGTTCTGTGCTACAGGCATCGTGCTTCTTGCTGTTTGCCGTAAGCACCGCTTGTTGAGGTTAAACATTGAGAAGAACGATTTTCCAGATGGCTGTCCAGTTGCAAGAGGTGCTAGTGACACGTGCGGACTAGGCTCCCAAGGGTTGTTTACTTTCCAGAGGCACTCCGACATTTGCCTTGTTTCGGGGCAAAGACATTGCCGGCGAGAAGTGGGAGGACGTGTGAGAGCAAAGGTTGATCCTGAGCTCTGTTGTGTCATATGTCATGCGAGGAGTTCAAGCCCAAGGACCTTTGTGAAAAGATCGCGAAGGCCGCAAAGCGCAGTCTGCACATGCCTGCGCAGTGGATCTTGCTCATTGGTTCATGGGCAGGTTTTTCCACTCTCCGATTCAGCCGTTGCCTCAAACTTGCCTGCATCGTCTTGTCGGACAAAGAGAGCTCGAAGGCCTTCCAGAAAATGGATGATCTGCAAGCAATGGTTCCGAACTGTCCTCAGACCATCGGTGACGTGTGGCTCTTGTACTCCTGATGGCACGCAAGGAGGCGATTCCAGCTCTTTACACAACTGGTCATGTGGTCGGTTGAGCTGCAGAAGCTGGAGCCTCCTCCTTAGGGGGAAGGCATTGGTGTCAGGCGGCACTTGCATCTAAGGTCCGTCCCAGCTTTGCTTGACGGTTTTACTCTGTTTTAAGTCTGAGGTCATGCATAGCCAGCGCAGTTGGAGAAGCGCAAAGCGACGCGTCGAGCCTCGGCTGACCCCCGTGCGGTGGAGGTCTCCATAAAAATGAAAACAAGTTCCACAGGTCTTCGGAGGACACTGAGTTCAACTCCGTCCTGTCCAGACTGATGGCGAGGGACATGAGGCCGAAGCCCCTGCACGAGCCCTCGTGCTGCTTGAGCAATACCTCGAAGAAGCACAGGCGCATCGATGGACTGCCGGACAGCGTGAACTTCCTGCAGCATCAAGTGGACGAGGTGCAGCTTGCCGTCCTTCGCAAGATCACGCAAAGTTTGGACTCGCTTAGGTGGAGCACGATGCTCTGGTGATGAGCATCATGCTGGGTGAAAGGGTGCTCTTCCCAGACATGGCGTAGTCAAGGGCTACTTTACATGTTCAGGGACTAATGTTAATCTGCAGGTGATGGCGCGGGAGAAGGAGGAGGAGGAGGCAGCGTCTGTTGCTGCTGGCAGAATTTTGCTTTCGACCCTTTTGCCAGGCACTGCTTGAGAGGAGAAGCAGCAATTGATCGAAAAGAGCACTCATCACTGAGTGCGCAAGGTACCAGCTGACGAACTCAGCACACTGTCGTCAGTGTTTTTCCACCTTTGGAGCGCAGTTTGGCGACTTTGAGGGCTTCGGAAACAGAGATCTCGTGCTTCTGCGAGCTTGTGAAGCGCCAGGGATTCAGGGAACGGCGAATGATGCGGAGTGTGATTTTCGCAGGTCGACGTTATCTTGAGTGTCGTCAACAATGAAATGAGGCATGCAAGTTTAGATGAGGGGCGACTTGGAGACACGGTGTTGCTGAAAGGTCCGTGCGGAGCGAGTTCGACAAGAAGTTGAACACAGCACTGCTCTCCAATATCGATGTGCGCGATCAGGCACGAGGGGCTGCACTGCTTCTTTCCACGTTTCTGCAGTTGCCAGCATCCTGACAAAAAACTCGAGGAGAAAGCCCTCGCTTTGTCAGACGCTCTGAGCCGTCTGTGGTGTTAGATGCACTTAACTTCCACGGCGTCCATGTTTAAGGAGCGGCGATGGGCTAGCTGCAAAGGACACACAGGACAGTATCTTTTATTTGATTCTGTAAGCTTAGCGTCGTGGCAGAGACACCAACATGAAATGTGGCAGGAGATCGAGGACAAGCTGAAAAGGTTGCAGGACAGCCAACAGCAGAGTTTGGAGCCCTGACCGGATCCCGAAACAAAGAGGGGAACCTTCTGCTGAGCTTCTCCGAGGCATGTTGAAGATCGCGGGGCTCCGGTCAGCTCACAAGCACGCCGAGGGTCAGGCCTCATGGAACTGGCCTGGGAGAGGGTCTCTTCTCTGTTCTGGTGATAGCCTGTGCCACATGGCACCTTGATGTACTCGTCTGTTTAACTTCCTTAAGTGAGCTGCCGTTCTTGCTGTTCCCTTGCCTTTCTGTTTGAAGCTTTCGCTCAGCAGCTTGTTGTTCAAGGGTTCCACCCCGCGTTTTGGTGTTCTGGCACAGCACATGTCAGCTTCAGGAAGCATGCTCATGAAAACGGCAACAAACGTATGGGAGTCAGCGAGAGCACAGGCTGCAAGAGACTTAAACAGGCATTCAGCTGCCTCTTGAATAGATGCGATCTTTTTGGAGCAGATCAGGTCATGGGAAGACCTGTGCAGATAATTCGACGCTTGTTCTGCAAGATTTTTCAACGCACCGGGCCAAAATCGGGGAGATGCTGGCTGCTGGTCAGACGGCTTTAGATGCAAACAGAAGGCATGGGGCAAGGAAGCGACTGTGCATGGCTCCAGAACAAGAGATCAGAACCATAAGGTGTGATGGCGAGGAGCTAGGCCGAAGAAGGCAGCCCATGTCGGCAGTTACATGAAGCCTGCTTTAAGCACGTTGTCACAAGCCTCAGCAGGCTTTCAGAGGCAGGAGCCCCTGGCCGCAAGCAAGGCAGCGTAAACTCCTGGCAGTCCAAACTCCGCCAGGCCAACTTTGCGGTTGAGAGGTTGAAGCGTCTTCAGACGGAGGTCCGCAGCCCTCAGTGGCTGTGTCCCCAACACTTGGCATGAACAGGATCCCAGTTTCTGCAACGCAGGTCAGCAACATCGTAGACCAGGCTCTTGACACTCTGGTGCCGTAAGTGTGTTTCGGAGTGCGAGGGGAGTTGAGCCTCCTTCGCATGCTCCGACATAGGTGGTCTATCAGCAGTCTCGACTGGACTACCTTCTGGTGCTCTTGGCCTCAGACACCGGTGCAACCAGTACTCACTGCCGACATCACCTGCGTGAAACTGACTTCCCCGAGGCATGGAGCTGCTATGAACCAGGACAGAGCAGATTCGGGCAAGCCGCGTAGTTCCTGAAATGCTCGAACATGTCTATCTGCGGCTTATGCAATGAGATGTGCGCTGCTATCAGGTTCCTTCCAAGCCATCGTATCTGCCGGGGCGGACAAAGACAAGAAGCCCAAGTTGAAGGTTGGACACGTCTGCCAAAATCAGCTCCGTCAGCTTGCAGTTATTCCGTGACAGGCTGGAGCCACCTTGCCATCGAGGCTTCCGTGCAATGTATTTCTCATGTTCTCGGCATCCAGCAACGATGTGCCGTGTTGTCTTGAAATGCCATACCTTCTGGGGGTATCGGAAATAAATAGACTGGGGGCGACTGCGTGTAGTCCCAGAGAAGCTCCCATCAGGATCTACTGTACCGACCGTGAGCCAACCAGGCAAATGGAGCGCACAGGGCAGCAGGACACAAGTGGAGGTGGAGATCCCGGGCACATGCCCGACTCATCGGCAGTCTCCCCAGAATTATTGATTCCGATCGTTGCAAAGAGACAGTCCTTTGAAGAGGACGAAGTGAACTCCTCACGAATTGCTCGCTTGGGCAAGAAACTCCTGGAACTCGACGGTCAGGCCGGGTCGATCGGGTTTAGGGTTTAGGGTTTAAGACTGTTCTGTCATTTCAATGCGAGCTGCAACAGAAAGGGAGGCCGGACAGATCCAGAACTCAAAGGCATACTTCAACACAAACCTCCATTCTCAGCCCGGTGTTCGAAAGACCATCAGGACCAAGTATGGGTCCCGAAAGCAAGTGTCCCGCACTGTCGGTGAGGCCTTTACCCCCCGGCCTTCCATTGACACGCGCATCGTCGGAGTACTCTGAAGCTGCCGGCGTAGGTCAATCGAGGAATGGCGGAGGTCAAGGCAGACATCGAGGCGCTTCATCGACTCTGACTGTCAAGCATGCTTGGTGTGTTTTCACAGCCAGCCGGTACGCCGGCTTTTTGTGATATTTAGTTCCAAATTCCCGATGCGCCTGCTCGCGTGCACCTTGCTCATGCCGGGCAGTCTGTCAACCAGACGTTGCTTTCGTTTCTGGAACTCCTTCCGCGGAGACTGCGGAGGCACGGCTGCTTGGTGCTGTATTTCCCGCGAGTTGTTCTGGCTGTCGGCCACTGTGCACTCAGGATGCTGCAAAAACAGCTGTTTCCAGATCCGGAGGAGACTGCAGCATTAACGTCATCAACGGTGGGGTGCCTCACATGAGCGTTGACTGAAAGCCAAGGAGGAGGTGGAGATTGTAAAGACTGCTTGAGACCCAGAGCCAAGAGCCAGGATCCTCCCAGTCACCAGGGGCCAGGGCTGCGTTGAATTGAGGAACGGCCGCACGAGAGCAAGAAGCACGTCAACTTTTCAGATCATGTGGAGCCGAGCCCTCGTTTGAAGACCGCGACAAGTCGATCGGGCATGTTGCGGGGCCAAGGACGCGCACTTTCCACGTCGAAGATGATAGTCGGCTGCCCTGGCAGTTAGTCGGTGAGGCAGACATCAAGCAAGAGACTCGGTCAATGCGTGATGCAGCTCACAGGTCTGGAGTTCCACTGAGGCATGCAGCGCACAGATAACCTTTCCAGCCAATCGGCCAAGCGATCATCCGTTCCGACAAGAAATATCCTCCCATCATGCTTGAAGGTTGCAGGGTGTTGAGATGAAGCGTAAGTTTTTTTGACAGGATGCTATCTTCAAGCACGGCCTTTAGACTACCGCAGTTTCAAGAGGCAATCCCCGCTTGCCCAAAAGACAGAACACGTGGGGAACTTCGATGTTGCAACATGGCTTAGCATCGAGTGCGGGAACGTGCAGGACTCCTCCACTGTCCAATCAAGCACAGGTCCGATTGCAAAGACAGAGGCACATGCATGTGAATGCAACCAACTAACTAGCGTCTCACGAAATGAAGGCGTGAGTATGCAGCATGTGCGATGATGGTGAATGGTGACTATGGTATGTTGCAATAACTCCCCAGTCGCATTCAATGTTATTGCTACCGTTCATGTGACGCATGTAGCTGCAGCATTACCACAATCAGCAGTAACAGCATTCATCTGAGGGGTTAAATTAGGCATTCGTGCAGGTTTCATGTGCGAACCCTTGCACGAAGCATGAGATGCAAACATCACCCAGTCAGCAGTTCATAGAATTGTAGGCCTGCCGAGCTTACATATGAGTGACAACCCTATCGAGTTTCCTGCGGTTTTGCGGCCAAGACGATTGTCTGTGGGCGAAACCAAGTTGGTTCTTTTTCGGTAGGACGTGCGAATTAGAACGCATGTTTGTATGGTCTGCATATGCCGATAGTCATTGTCGTTTTGGTTGTGGTTGCGCCTGCTGGTTGCTGTTGTTGTTGTTGCTGCTGCTGCTGCTGCTGCTGCTGCAACGTCACATCAGTCTTTCTATCTGTTGTTGCATCTTCCTCTGTATCCTTCGAGGCCTCTTCCTCTGTATCCTTCGAGTTGTTTTTCCTCTTCTTATTCCTCTTAGTCCTCAGATATCTCAGCTTGTTGGTTTTCCTTTCTATCTGACATTATGCAAGTCGACCAAGATGCATCCTATCTGCAGGTTATCTACATGTTGTCACCTTGTTTTTTTGAGGTGGAATTGGTGTTACAAACCCAGAGACGAGATGGGAAGAGACCTCGCCATGTGCCTGCAGCAGTCCTTCTGGCTGATTTTCGGCGTGCATATCACGTTAATTCGGCCTGTCTCTATAAGAACGTTTCTGCCAGATTCGACAACGATCGCGAAGACTTTGAAACTAAAGTGGTGCAGCGCGGGCCCAACAAAAACATTACAGTGTCGCATGTATTTGGAAGTGCGCACTGAACACATGGCACAGATCACCTGAGGTGGCTGCAAGGCGGAGGAATCGGAGTTGGCAGCCTTCCAGTTCGGAGCTCGATGGCCGCTTGGCATCGAAAGTTCAGGCTGGTGGAGAAAAGCTTCTGACCTGTGCCGGCAGGCGGTGTCAAGCTTTCGGGACTCTCTTTCCCTGGAGGGCCTCATGAGCATGAGCATGGGGATGGGAGGTCTAGAGGAAGGAGTTGGGAACTCAGATGTTTCCGCTGCATTTCGAAGCTGTGGCTTCTGGCCCGCGGGATGCATTCGCTTTGGAGGTCGCAGCACCTCAGCTGATGCACTTTGAAGAGCGCCTCGAGAGGCGCCGGAAAAACGGCTGGATAGTCCGACAGTCCTGAGCCGGGAGAGGCTTGGCACCGAGCTCTTCAACATGAAGAGGGCGCAGGAAGACGCAGAATTATTAAATCCGCGCAGAGCGGAAATGAGTGAGCTAGCAAGTGCGTGAAGGACGTGGACCACGTGCGGAAGGTGGACAAGGAAGATCTTCAGCTGGTCGTCTCGCGAGCGGCCCAGTTTTTCGCTTTGCCTTGTGCCTTGCTTCAGGGCTTCGCCAGGTTTCTCCTGTCTGAGGCGACTGGGGGCCATTGAGAAGCTGAATATTCCAGGCGCCTTGTAATCTGAGTGAGTCGCAGCTGTCATAGAGTCCAAACGGGAGCAACAAGAAGGGATGAGCTCGGGCAAAGCAAAGCAGCAAAGCAGTGTCGGAGATCTTTGAAAGTCGCCGCAGATCTGAAGATCCGCATCGAGGCTCTCGAGGTGCCCCCATCTCTGCGGTTCCGCATAGAGGAAGGCTTTCTTGCTCGTCTCAGGGCGACACCAAGTTCAGTGCGCAGAATGTAACGGAGCTCCGGGAGAAGGTCTTCAAGGCTGGTTGGCTGATGTTGTATTGTGTCGCGAGTCATGTTCCATGCATCTTTCGCCCTCCCAAATCTATTTGCTGTTGTTTCGCAGGTCGAATCCGTAGCCGCTCCGCGCTCGGAGCTGACAAAGGCGCTGGGCACTGTCTGGAGTTTATGTGGGCCTTCGCTGGTGGTTGCACCCACCAATCACCAATCCTTCCGCAGGTGCAGAATGGGTTTGAGCAGCTCATGTCCGACCACCAAGCCATGAAGGCCCCCAGTCCAGTGTTCAAGCGAGAACAGTGGTGTAAGCTGTTGGTTCCTTTTCAGGTCGAGCTCAAGGAAGCTTCGGTTGATAGCTCAGACGTTGCTCAACGCAACTTGTCCGACACTGCCTGCTTCTACGTGCCGTCACACGGAGGCATCGATGTACAATTCCAACCGCAAGTTCATCCACGAACTTCAGGAGGCATCTGTGCTTGCTTCTACTTGATCTTGGGACCAACATACCTACCGCTGATAGCTTCTAAATTTTGCAAGCGATTTCGTGGTACTCGCAAGCACGCGAGACGAGCGAGCGTGACAGGTATTACAGTACAAAGCAGTGCTGCTGTGGGATAGCACGGAGATGATGCACAAATTTGAACATTCCTACGAATCATGCAATCCTTTCTGCGTGTGTGCACTCTTTTTGCAATCTGCAGTTTTGCTGTAAACTGCGTTCTGCACTTGTGAAACTGAACCCGGCTTGTACGTCCATCAACCGAAGAATCACATCGCCGTTCGTATGCGAAAATACACATCCGCGATGAGGTGAAAACCACCACGCAGAACTCGATCACGGTCCTCCATAAACAGAAGGCGCGAATTGCAGCAAAGACTGCTCTGATAGTTTGGTGTTTTGCGCTCTGGTGCCATCTCGCAGTTTTCTTTGGCAGGTCGAGATTCCCGATCTGGCCGCAGTCACGGACAAGGCCCATGATCCTACTGCCGCTGACCACGCGCCTTTCAGTTACTTTTCGGTGTTAGTCTGTCGAAGGTTGTCAAGCTCGAGCAGTCAATCAAAGACAACCGACGCATTCTCGGAGACGGCGGTGGCCAGGACAACACAGCCACGTCGTAGGAAAGTGCGTAACTTGTTGACATGGTCTTCAGCAGGGGTAGTGTAAGCGCGGAATCGGAAGCACTACTCCTCAGGAGATCAATGCGGTTGTCAGACGCATCATTCTGAATCTTGAGGCCTGTCATGCTGCTTGTTCTTTGGCAGTACGGCACTATCACTACTTGTAACAATCCAACATGGGTGTCATACGAGGACAAGATCATGGTCCTGGAAAAGAAGATTGATGCCTTGGCCGATGGACGTCCTCAGAAGGTCGCGCAAAGTTGCTGAATTGTTGTCCATTTACAAGACAGAGCTCAGTGCAGGACGTGATGCCTCGGAATGAATCGCCAGCCCACAAGCATACCGGCAGCTTTCAGTCTTCTGAGATGCAGGAGGCCAGTGCTAATGGATCTAAACATTCCCTTCCGATGGGCCGCTGGCACAGCTTCGTGTTTCGCCGTTTCGCTGAAGCTTCCGAGGCGGCTCTGCAATCTGTGAGTGAGGAACTCACAGCGATGACAGACGCAACTTTGCTGCACTGCGATACCTGCTACACAGTTCTCTGGTTTCAGTTCTTGTAGAAACCACCTTCGTACTTCTGGTACCATTCTCATTTTTCTTTTACTATAGTGCTACCGCTGTTTATTGCTGTGGCTGCTGTCGTTGTTATCTCTTGGTGTCGTTGTATTGGTGGTGGTTGTTGTTCTCACCAGCACCGTTACTACCACCACTACCACTACCACAACCACTACCACTACCATTTCACTACCACTGCCACTACCACTACAACTACCACCACCACCACCACCATCACCACTAGCACGAGCACTGGCACTAGCACTACCGCTACCGGTGCCGGTACCACTACAACTACCACTACCACTACGACTACCACGACCACTACCACTACCACTACCACTACTACTGCCACTGCCACTACCGATATTACTACCACAACGACGACGACTACTTCTACTGCTGCTACTACTACTGCTACTCCTACTGCTACTACCACTACTACTACTACCACCACCAGCACCACCACCAATTTTACTATTCCTGTTATTGCTATGACTATGACCTGTACGGTACTTACGACTACTATGTTATTATGGTGATTGCGATGGTACCTCTGGATATTTGATCTGGACAATACGTACAATTAGTATACATGTGATGACTATCAATCTGTTTACTATCTGTATGGTACATGTGATTATGAGCATTACGTTGATGTTCTTATGGTTAGCATGATCAGTATGATGATTAGGATTTTCATGATGATGATCATGACGAATATGAATGCGTTGTTGTTGTAACTGTGTTTTTCTTAATTGGTCCTCATGAAGGCATATGGAACCGCTCGAGGCAACATGCATGTATTTGCCTCTCTCTCTCTCTCCTTCTCTCTCTCTCACTCTCTCCACATATGTACACGTTTGTGGTCATTTGCATACATATGTATTCATGTATGTGCGCAGGCCTGCATGCCTGCAGGCATTGTAGTTGCTACCGCGAAGCACAGATCCGCTGCTGTGCAGCTCCTGCAGACCGGATGATGATGGACAAGTGCAAGTAATCCGGAGCGTGGGGGACAACAGTACATCCCATCGCGGAGGATTAACAAGTCAACGTACCACAAATGTCGTTTGTAGAATGCTCGACGATAGTCCCGTCTTCCCTTCTCAAGAAGTTGCCAGGTCAAGGACAACATGCCTGCCATTCTCAGCTCACTTCACCTTTTTGTGATGATTACAAGCCCCTTTTTTGTGCAATGTTTTTCCTCCGGATGTGTCTCCGATAGCCTTCTCTTCTCCTTCAATACTCCGTCTTGTACGCCCGCCGATAAATTCAGAGCCATGGCGCGCGAAAGCAACTGCTGAATCCGCGTTGTCTCAGCTCCAATCTTTGCCAGAATCTCACTGCAGACGCTGGTTTGCGTGCAAACTGTCAGCTACGAACTGTTGTAAGTCCTTCCTGCTTAGACTTTCAAGTTAGTAACTTCGAGCACACGCAGCAGCACTCAAAAGGAGGCTTCAAAATGTGGGATATTGATATCGCTGCATAATATTGCTGAGATGACTTCTGCCAATCCGAACTGTTTCGGGCCATGGTGCTGAGAAATTGCGTCTTAAGCCCCAAGGATGATGTTTCATGATCAGTCTTGCTTTGGTCTTTCTTCGCAACAATCTTGGGGGAGCCTGTGCTGCGAATGTTGAGGAGTTAGGTGCTAAGGTATCAATCTTTTCAGAAAGTTACGCAGTATTGTCCAAAGCGCAGAGAATTCTAGGAGTGAGGCGCGTGGAAACTCCATCTGCTTGTTTTGATCGCTTGTTTGTGTATGCCCATGATGTACCCTCACAAAATTTTTGCAAGGGCTCCAGTTGAATTTCTATCCAGGAAGTTATTCTGCAATCGGGGCGGCCGAATTGAAGAATAAAGCTTCCGGACTCAACTTCCAGCTTCGATCCGCTCCCCGATTGGTTTAACATCAGGACGACTAGTCTCACTCGGATAGAAGACGGCCTTGTCCAATCGCCTTGGATGTAGACGCACGATTTCAGCACTGTCCCCGATTCGAGCACTAACTGGCGCTGACAGCACGGTCCGAGCACTGCTGGTGGAGCACCAAACCTGACGTCTGTGATTCAGGGTCGGGATGCAGATTTTCTGTTTTCAGAGGCCAGGTGCCCCAAACTGTCGCTTTCACTGCTTCCTCAGTGCACGAATCCTACCTAACTCACGTGCTCGGATTCGCCGCTGCAGTGCACCTCGCAAATTCATAGCCCCAGTGTACGAAACTTGATGTATGAATCCGCATTTCGGTGCACGAACCCAGTGTTTCCGCTGGGCGCGTCGGTAAGTGCGCGACTCGGTTTGCCGTTATGGTTACAGAAACCCCGCCGTTCGGAAGTCTGGGAATCAGAAAGTCTGGAAGTCAGGAAACTAGGGGGCGAACTTGCCAAGGCGCATTCTGGTACAGAGGCTACATATGATTACATATGTGTAAGAGAACCCCGTGGTTGTCTTTTACTTTTCTCCGGAAAGTGCTTTGATGCTTTCCCACAAGTAATTCAGGATAAGCACTTCAGTGATCTGAAGTTGCACTGCTGTTTTGCTCAGTTAACGCTTACGTATGTAAGTAGCTGATTCAATGTGCAAGAAAAATCAAGGGCTCAAGAGTGCTTGCGAGTTCAAGCAACTTGAACAGTTCAGAAATGTAGTTCATGACCCATTCTGCAACCTTTGTGTGCATGTATTACAAACGAGATGGCACATCAGAAGGTGTTGTGAGAGCTAGCAGCTGTCACTAAAATTCGATCAGCATTTGCGGAATGCCTTCCAGTCTTGCTTGAAAAGGATCGACACAAGATCATGAGCGAATGCCTCCCATGTATTTTGCAAATTCATGCATTTTGATTGGGCCAGATCAATGCAGTTATCTATCCTCATTCAGTCAGCTCTAGACTCTAGTCACAACACAAGTAAATCCAGGTGGTCTCTATGTCGAAGAGCTTGTGGCCTAGAAGCTAGTTTGGCTTAATGGTTTGTTGGTACAGTAGGAGTTGGTGTTTATTTTGAGACTTGTCACTGCATGATAAGCGGTTTCAACATCCGCTTGATCGTGTAGGATTGGAAAGTAGCCAACCAAACCCTGAGGTCCGCAGGTCATTGTTGCTTTAGGTTTGCGGGATGGGATCGATTCATCTTCGGTCTTTCGCTCAGACGTCTCAATCCATGCAAGATGTGCGGACCAGGACTCCCAAGCATAGCAACCGCTTGACACCGGAAACACTTCGCGAAACCAGCTCCTATCGTCGACGAAACACTTTCGCTTGCCAATCAGCAAAGCTGCTCTACCGTGACTTGTTGTCGACGGCCACAAGCATCGTCTGAATTCTGTTTGGCAGGTAGGCCGATTTTCATTTTGCTGCACGCAATCTGTTTTGAGGGTGGTCCGGCTTTCAGCACTGGAGGTTGTGGCCAAGCTGAAGCAAGACATCTCCGTCAGCAAGGCATGTCGGCCAGAATTTCAGATTTGCGTAGACTTTCGCCTTACGCTTAGCTGCTGCACAGTCCGCTTTCCCTTGTTTCGGATGCTGACGGGGACAAGCCCACTAACGAACTCGCAGACACCCGCAGGTGCGATCTGAAACGCATTGGCTTGTGACTTAATGTAGCTCCGAACTGTGGTAGCTTGAGCCAGTGGGCGACAACAACGGAGGGCTGAGGCTCGTGATGTCTTCGTCGTAGCCTCGATGCAGATGGACGTATCGTGAAGTTTGTCGCGTGTTGCCAGCGAGCTGCCGCTTGAAATCGAAGCTGATGTCGGAAGTTTGGCTTATGAGATTCAAACCCTCCAGGACTCAGATGCATGTGCCCTGACTTGCCTGTGTCTCCAAATCCTGCAATTGCATTGCAGCTTTTCGCCATAATTGTTGGGAAACTATTGGGAGAAATCTTGAGGAGACACAGTGTTGGATACCCCTAATCCTTTCCGTAGGATTAGGGGTGCATGGGTGCCACCGCTGCTGTGACAACTACTGCATGACATCCGGGATAGCTTAGCACTTGTACCGTTCTTCTTCTGCGCCTCATCAGCCCGCAGCCTCATCTTGGAGGTTTCAGCACGAGGTGGCCGTGTCTCACATCCATCTGTGCAGGTGCACATCGATGAGATGGCAGAGCAGGCCTGAATCGTGGCAGCTGCTCTGTCAGCCTTTTCGTGGAGATGTATTCTTGTGGCTTCCCTTGCCCGCAGCCTGATTCAGTCAAGCAGAAGAGCTCCATGCTGACATCACGCGACCTCCGTGCTTTGTGCAACGGGGGGCTGTAATGCCGTGATACAACAAGACATGAAGAAGCAACACGACTTTCCTCGCAGTCGGACTAGTTTTTTGCTAGTATGTCACCCAACGCGCACAGCCGTGCGCATCATCGGATGACACCTTTCGTTACACGAAGGTGTCATGGCTTCTGGCATACTATGGGTTACGCTATCAGGTTGTTGTGCCATGACGAACACAGTGGTTTTCGAGACTACTGCACTTCCCCGAGGTCCTGGCGGTAATGCTAAGCCCGAGCATGTCTACACCAGAAGGGGAAAGGCCAGAAGTCGATTTCAGCGAAGGCACGGCCTGCTTGGCATGCTGCGCAGGTCGGGAGAGAAGCTGTCTCAAGCGAGACACATGAGGAACTCCTTCCTACAGAGACTCGAGGCCCTGTCTCACACCTGGCTAGCCGGGCAAGCTGCTCGCATCTGCTCGCAGGCCATGTCGCTTTCGTCGTCGTCCGCGCCACAGGGCAGCACGACCGAAAGATTGCAGTCTATTTGCCTTTCAGGCCGTTCCTCGATGCCCATGGGCGCCGAAGTTCGTTACGAGACGTTGCAGTGCCCTCAAAGAGATCCGGAAGCAGCGGTTGGTATGTTTTGTGCTGCGAGGTCGACACCGACAGCGACGCGAGGGAAGCTTCCGAAGGCCGGAGACGTGGAGACGCTCCAGCGGGGCTCTGCAAGCACTGCACGATGCGCTCAGAGGCTTCAGCTCTTGCATGGCAGGCGACACGACCCAGCACATGTCCAGGCCGAGCCTCTGAGCTGCGGCATCCAGACATTCTGGTGTAATCCCTGGGGGCAGACGTTGTGGCTCCTGCAGGTTCTCCGCAGTTCCTCGGCACCCTGTCGTTGCCAGTACCACGGAGTCGCCTCGCGAGTGCAGACCCGAGCAGGATTCTGCAGGATGGTGCAACTTAGTGCGCTGGCACGATCAGCGCTGCAAAAGCGGTGCTCTGCTGCCCTCGCCGGTGCATCAAGCAGCGAAGCAGCCGTTGCGACACATCATGTAGCTAGCAGCTCGACTTTTTCCCGCAGCTCCAGCATTGTAGAAAGTGAACTTGCTTCCGATTATCGATTTCCTCGTTTCGGGCTCACCTCGGCCATGGAGGCTTTGGGAGCTTCTCCTTCGCAGGGGTCTTCCAACTTCTTGTCGACTGACGATGCCACCCGGGTGGGATGGGCCTCCTTCAATTCCGTTTCTGCTGGCCTGGCGGGTCTCGCGCTTGCGGGCCCTGTTGGAAGTTTCTTTGATGCATCTCCGACTTTCCCAGTCCGGGTCCCAGTCCTGGCCAACCCGATCCCGATCGCCGCGTGCTGAGGCGCCCTTGGAATTTCCTCTTGGGTCCTGTCTGATTCGAATGCTGCAGCGAGCGGCATTGTCGCAGTGGCTCACTTGCGTAAAGACTTCGAAAAAAGTCTTGCGTCACTCGCCTTGGTTTCTTCAGGTCACAGGTGTGACCATCTGCTTTGCTGGTGGCCACGTCCTCCTGGCAGCTGCCGGCGCTACGGGGGTCTGCTTGAACCTCGTGCAGAACGCCATCACCTCCCGAGAGGTGCTCGCCGTGTTGGCAGACTCTTGCCTCTCACTGTGTCACGGCATGTCACGGCAACGGCAGGCACCAGCAGAAGAGGAGGGGGAGGGCGGCCGGAGCCTCAGAGCTGGAGTCTTGGGGTGACTTCTTTCCGAACGCGCCAGCTGCAGGTGCACTCGAGCGCAGTGCCAGGGAGATCCTGCTCGAAGAGCAGGAGAAAGCAAGCTCCTAGAGCTCCTGGAGTCCTGCGGAGTTTCTAGGTGCCTCAGTGCAATTGTAGCTGACGAAGGAGCTTGAAGCTGCGGAGGCTGCCGAAGCCGAGGAGGCGGTGGAGGGATCTGCAGCCGGTGCTTTCGGAAGCGAGAGCAGACTGCTATTTGATATTCCTGCGGCTCAGGAGAAGAGGATACACAGCAAGCAAGCTTCATGTTGGGCTGGGATATTTTCCTGCTTGTCCTGCACAGGTGTCATGGCTGTCTCAACGTAGTAGGGCTATGTTTGCAGTCTTCAAGCCTTTGAAAGCCATTCCGGTTAGCCAAGGATGTTTTCCTGCTGCGACGGACCGTGAAGCAGGACTTGAAGGGGAGCCCCTTCAAAGTCTAGACATAGCGAAGCGGCGCATGATTCTGGAGAGCCGCCGGCATCTTCGGCAGCTTGTCGTGTATAAGGTTTCTTCTTTGAGTGAGGGCCTTCCCTCAGCCCTCTTGCAAAGAGGGATCGGGATAAAGAAATGCAGGAGCAGCCGGGGCCATGCATTCGTTCAGCTAAACAAGCATGCGAGCAACTAAGGCAGGAGGTCAACAGTGGGCTCAGCCCTTTGATCCTGTACGAAGCAACGAGTTTCACCGATCGACGGAAGATGCAGTCTTGCAAGCGAGCTTCCTTGGTGCCTGCTCAACCGATTCCGATAAACGCTCGTGGCACCACAGTGGCTGCTGGGTGGCACCAGAGAAGCTCTTGCATCGCACCCTTTCGATCTGGTTGCCAGCATTCGCAGAGGTCAACGACAACTTCGTGGGCAAGTTGGTCATGATGCATCGTCAAGCCAACGGTGCTGCATCGGCACCAAGCGCCTATGACGAGTACTTCGCAAAGAAAACACGCCGCTGGGAGTTGCGGTTGCAGGGCAGGTTTGTGCGCAAGCCGACCGGAAAGATGTTCGGAGGAGTGCGGAGCTCAATACGTGGATACATGCCTTTTTAACAGCTTGGAGCTTCAAGCGGGAGGCTTGCAGACATGTGGGCGCTTCGAGGTTGTCCTGAGGGACTTCGACTACAACACACCTCTAAGCCGTTCCCGACCAGCATCTAGAGCTTGACGATTTGCCCGAATCAACTTTGACACACCTGCGATTTCGCTGAGGCTTCTCTGCGTGGTTGAGCACTCTCTCCATATCGCCTCTGGACCACAGCCACACAAGCAAAAGCACAGTAGTGCAGTCCAAAGTGCCACGATGGCGTTGCATGTACTTGAACACACATGCAGGAGTACACCATAGGGACGAAAGTTGTCTTGACTTTCGGCGACAGGGGAAAGGCACGGATTCTGAGGGACATGTCGTCTCCTCTCCAAAGAATCGGAGCTGTCGACCATGTGGCAGGCATCGCTGAAGGAGGATGCCATGCTGAGCCATGTGGTCGCGGGGCTGCAGGTGCGAAATGAGCAGCCGGTGCTTCACAAAGGCTGCATGAAAATCTGGCAGGCCTTCGATCAGATCATCGTGACGGAGGCAGCTGACGAGCCGCCTGCCATCGACGGCAACTTAGATGGTCTGGGCATCCGAAGGCGTCTGTGCAACGACATTCTCTGATACAGTAGCTTGAGTATATCTGGTACTTGTCACACCCATTCGTCAAACACAGGCACGGTGCGAGCAGCTCATCTTCCTGGGCTGCGGCTGCAGAGGAGATGCTTACTTTGATAAACACCCTGCAGTCAGATCCAGCAGCTGATAGACTTCATGCAGGACGTGGAATGCAACATCAATCCCGATCGCACCTACACCTTTTGCTTCTGGAGCGCCGCCAGATTTATCGACCTCATTGGCGTGTCTAGGCCGCAAATCTCCGAAGAAGGCCTTCACAAATTCTGCCCGCCTCTTGCAATAAGGGGGCCTTGACGGACCTTGTTCCGCTGATCCCAGCTTCGCTGCCTTTCAGAACATTCTTGGATCATTGGCCACCTCACTTCGTGTTCTACGAACTTGAGCCGGGAAGCGACGGTGCTTTCAAGCACATAGAACGCAAGAAGAGCTACCTTCTGGATCTCATGGTGCTGAATCCTCGGCTGCCCCAGAATCAGAACTTGGCAAGAAAGTATTATTTCGCCACTTCTTAGTGGTTGCAGTGAAGAAATGGAGTGCATGTTTACCGGATCGACTCATTGCAAAGTACTCGGTGAGTCAGTCAGGGAGACCAGGGGCAACAACGTCTTGCCCTGCGCAGCTCTGCATAGTCTCCGAATCAATGTTCTTGTGCTTCGCAGTTGCAGTGCCTGACTTCTCTTCCTTCTGCACAGATTGATCCTGTGTGATCACAGATTGATCCTCGCGCACCTGCGAAAGACTGTGTCGTGGCCCGCTGCGTGGAAAACGCGGAGTGAAGGCTGCTGCTGAAGGTTTTCAACAGGGAACAGAGGCATGAAGGCAGCTTGCTGAGAAGCCCCAAGACACCAAACATGGCTCTGTCGTGGAAACAGCGAGCTGAGGTTTCCACACGCGTCAGTATCAGGTTCCTTTGGAGGCCCTGGCATCCATAGAGTATCCATAGGTGCAAAAGAGTTTATGCTTGTCCCTCCTTGGCAGATCCCGACCCTGGTCTACCGTCGGCACGCCGCCCGCGGCCTCTCGCCGCTGCCATAGCCTGCAGATTGCACTGTCTCGGAGTTTGACGGCCTTGGCTGATGCGGGAAAGCCGAGGAGATCTCCGAGGGTCCCATTCGCATGGGACACAAGGCGAGGAACTAAGGAAATGCCTGCCTTGTCTCTGAATCTGCAATGCCTTCTGTGGGAATGTCCGAGCAGGTGCAGGGATCGCCCAGCGAGCTCTCCACGGCTCCTACGGCGCATGAGGCGTCCAAGACTGTTGCAGTGACTCCAACTGCGAACCAAGAGATGCGAGGATGGCGCCCCGCATGATTGTGTCGAGCAAGGACCGTGAGTCACGGTGAAGAGTGGTGCAGTGATCCGAACGTGCAAGAGAGAGATGGGTTTGCTTGGACCCGTTTGGCTTAGGCCGCAAACTAGAGAGAGAAAGAAAGACGGAGCAAGAGTTATGCACGAAAGGCTGGGGACATTGGAGACTTCCCGATGCCCATGCGCTAC